AAAAAAGGAGGATAAAGTTTTCTCAAGACGCATGCAGCGGGCCATCAAATTGTATACTATTATAGTACACGGATTATGTGTAAAATTGGTGTAACATCCAAAAAACACTTTCACGATCAAAATTACCAAAAACTGTATGTTATAGTATATAAATTTTGGATAAAATTGGTGGATAATCAAAAAAAAAATCACGGTCATAATCACCAAAAACTGTGTCCTATAGTACACAAATTTTGGGTAAAATTGGTGGAACGTCCAACAAAACCCTTTCACGATAAAAATCACCAAAACCTGTATACTATATAGTACACATATTTTGAGTAAAATTGGTGGAACGTTCAAAAAACTCTTCCACGATCAAAATTACCAAAAACTGCATGCATAGTACATAGATTTCGGATAAAATTGGTGAAACATCGAAAAAACCTTTTCACGATAAAAATCACCTAGAAAAAACTTTCAAAAAACTATTTTCACAATCAAAACTACCACCAAAAGGCAAAAACTGTATAATATAGTACACAGTTTTTGGGTAAAATTAGTGAAACGTACAAAAACTTTTTTAATATCAAAATCACCAAAATTTGTATATGTTATAACACACGTTTTCCAATAAAATCGCTGAAAGTTAAAAAAATTATTATTATTTATTAACATTCAGATTTATAGTATAGAATATGTGTATCCATATGTTGTCAAAAAATAGTTCATCAAAAAAATATTTTACTAATTTTTTAATCATCAATAAAAGTCTCAAAAAATCGTATACTATATAACATACATTTTCTATTAAAAATCGTTGAAATGTCAAAAAAATAAAAATAAAAAGACTATACACAAAGAAAATCTCTGCCGGCGATTTGCTGCAGTACTCTGGTTAGTTATTTGTAATCCTGTACCTCCATTCTGTAAAAAGATTCCTTTAAAGGTTTCCTGAATTTAGCAGCTACTCTCTATGGTTAAAAATATAAATTAATACTTTGAAAGAGAAAAGAAAATTATATACAATATAACAGGAGAGCTCCAAGGCTAATTTCTACAAAACTGTGTTTCGGTAAAAACTACAAGGACGAAAACGTCTTTCTGAACCATTCTGACAAGCGTTTAATTTTTACGGAAAGCTCTGCGTTTTTTCCAAAGAATGATTCGGCATTTGATAGCATCACTCTAACATCATGCTTCATTGACTCTAACCTTCTGTAGTAGTTCTTCTCTAACCTGGACTGTATTACTTCGAGCGACAATGGAACAGGGAATCTGTAAAAACGATAGTAGTTAAAAACTGTTCACATGGATCAATGAAAAGAACATTACAAATAAGATATATATATATATATATATATATATATATATATATATATATATATATATATATATATATATATATATATCAGTCCTAAGTATATACATACATGATATACTCCTGTTTCAGATCAATTGTCTCTCATTTTTACCATTGTTACTCTTTAGTCTTTACTAGTCGAGAGAAATTAGTGGAAAGAGAATTAATGGGAACGGTATTTTAGCCGTATTCTATATATTTCCTAGAATCGACGCATATTTTACTAGATTCCTTTAGGAAATTGATAACTCTCAAGACGACGTGGAGGTAAGATACGTACCTGTTAATAAAATTTGTCTTCTGCGAAACTTGTCTCAATTTGTTAACCCCATAATAATCCTGCAACGAAAAACCATGATTACACCTAATATCCAACTCAATTCGTAACGGCCAAGAAAAAAAAAGAAGGAAAAAGAGCAGTCTGTTTACCTGGACTTTCTCTCCAGATAGCTCCAACTTGGCAAATTCACGAGTGAGCTTCTCTCTTATATCACCATCAATACGAGGCTGCTCCCACTGAGTACCACGAGTACCAGTGTCATAAAGTTCCCACGGACTGTGATAATGAGTTTCAGTCGGATCACTTTTGTACTTCACAACATATCTTTCCCATGGACTATCCGGAAATTCAACAGATTTAGGCTTCACATTTAAAATCCGACCCTCCCACCAATCACCATCCTCGTCACCATCATCCCACCAAACTTTGCACTTATCTCGACAAGTCCAATTTCTCGCCAAAGACGCATCGTACCTACTTTTCTCCACAAGAAAATCCGGAAAATCGCTCACCTTCGGCAGATTCAACTTGAATGATTTACCCACTGCATCAGAAGTTGGATCTACAAATTTAAGTGTCATTTTACAGCAGCTCTCACCAGAGCCTGGATGTGTTGAATACTCTAGTTCTTCAACCCTACAGAACTCAACAGCTCTGATGTTTCGCTTAACAGTTTCCCACGGAACTTGATTCCTCGAGGTAGTGCAATTTGTTATGTACTCTCCGTGACCCTGAAGAGTATATAAACCCAATAAGACGATGATTAAACCACGAAGGAACAATACTTGGAAAAAGAATAAACGAGCTACAAAGAACATATGCATTATATACCTGTCTCAAATACACAACTTCATCACCTAGTTGGGGTATATACCGGGATGAAACTTCCTCGTGCGCTGACAACATTAACCAGGATTTTTTCCCAGTTTGGTTTGATTTTGATTTGGTTGGGGGGGGACTAGTATTATCGCGAGTATAATTACTACCTTTCTTGCTTCTTGTGGATCTTAATCGAATAGAGTTCTTCAATACTGATCCTCGTTCTCCATCTATGCTCGGAGAAGCCTCGTCAGCATCAATTGAAGTATCTTCCGAATGAATATGGGGTTCATTAAATTTGAAGTTGCTTTCTAACTTGAGATCACGGGTACTTGACCTGAATCTAATAGACCTGGCCCTACGAATCCCTTCTGGTGGAATCTCAATTTCCCCATCTGGATTATTCTTCTCAACGTTGGAAGTGCTAGTGCTTGCTTCCATGGTACTACATTCACCTTCTTGATTACTTCTACCTCTTGAAGGCTTCGACCTTCTATAAACAGCAGTAAACATCCTTTTATTTGAATCTAGTTTCAACGAGTCTTCCAACACAGACCTGGATGAAGCTCCATTCACAAGACCCTCTGTTTCCGGCACTCGATGAAGATCTTTGGTTTCCGAGCATGAGGTTCCAATGCCATCGTCATGCACAGGAACTTGAAAATCTAAATTATTTTCTGCCTGGGGGTTTTCACATATTGTTTCACATTTTACTCTATCCAATGCTGGATGAGCAAAAGCTGCTTTTTTGGGGCTATCATAGTCCTTCAAAATAGAAGCAGATTTTATTCGCAACTTTGTCGGGATTCGGACACCATTTTCTTTCCCTTTAAATTGGTTTTCTGTCCCATTAGCGCTAACAGAAGGCATGGTTGTACCATTGCATACCTCATTATACTTATTCGAGGATTCATCTTCATCCTTGCCCACATCCAATCCCAATTCTCTCTCAACATTTTTTACTCCAGAGCTTTCAGGCATATTGATCGTAGATGGATTTTCTCTCTCATCAACGATTTCTTCCAAATTGTGTTCCTGATTTTGGATTCTGGAACTTGGGGGCTCTGTTTCGTGCTCCTCTGCTGCAGTCGAATGGCCATTGGCAATATTTTCTGCTTTAGGATGCTGGTCAAGAACTGAACCAGATCCCGCAAGTAAACCTGCTGACAAGGATTCTTCCATCTTCAACCTTTTATAGGTGCGAGTTTTGACCCCTCCCCATGAATTTTTGCATCCTTTTAGAAGATCTACATGATGTTCAACCGTATTTTGCTGCCCCGTATTGCTTCTACCATTGACATCACCATCATCAGAACCAACACAGCTTTGCTCCTCATCTAAATAAATCTTACTTGATTCATTTACTTTCTGAGGAGTTCTAGATGATGTGCCTGCTACAGCAGATTGTCTTTCATTGATGTTTGACGTAGAGTTTTGTTGAGACGCAAACTTACTTGAATCAGGATTTGGCAATTTTAGAATTAATCTCCCTTTTGTCACAGCATTTGAATGAGATTCAGGATGTGGATGCGCTTGATTTACGCCCACATGGTGATCCAATGATATTTCTTTTCCCTTGGAACTTTCAGACCATTCCTTTTGCAGAGATACATCTGATTCTTCACTTGCGAAACTCGAGTCTTGCAGTGTCGACCCACTTTCTAGTGAATCACCATCAGAGCCATTTATATCTCCATCTGTAGATGTTCCTGTGATTCGAGAGAACAGATGAAGTGCATTTCTAGCCGCAGCTCTTTGAGGCCTCGACTTCGACGAGGACTTCTTTTTTGAGGCTTTTCTGCCATTTCCTGATTTTCTAGAACGGTTGTTCCTAATTAAAGTGCCATCACACTCATCCAAATTCTTCCTCTTCACACGCCTGCCCGAAGATGTCATTATCTCCACCTACAAAATTGGGGGAAAAAATACAAATTTAAATAAATGTAAAAAAAAAGATCACCTCTACCTTTGGCATAACATTCAGCATATACAGAGAAGACTAACAGAAAAAATACCTCTACCTTCTGCTTCTTTCTCCTTGATCTACGTAAGCGATCTCTGTGTGAGTCCTCAATCTCACTGTTCCCAGAACTCGACTCTGCCTCGTCAGAATCAGAACTTAAACTGGCTTGCTCACCTCCAGATGAGTAATCCTCTGCTATGTGATACTCTGAATCATTATCATCACTATGTATCTCAACTTCTGGTTCCCAATCCATTGCATCAACAAACTCAGGTAGTGGATCAATTAATGTATCCAAATCAACTATGGGAAGCATATGATAATCTGGGTCCAGACTGAAATCTACACCAACAGCAAATCTCAGAGATGAAGGGCGCCACTCAAGACCAAGAGCTCCTAGCCGCCTTTGCTGGTACATACTTTGATAAGGCTCAGGATATGGAAGCATCCCTACCAATAGCCAAACAAAAAAGACCCATATTGGAAAAAAAAATCATATTAGTAAATAGTAACAGAAAGATAAATAAATTGAGAAAGAAGAAAATCAAAATGTACCAGAATCACAGAGGAGATCTTGCATATTCCTACGATAAGGAGCAAGTTGTGTTTCCTGTATTAATAATACAAGCATCACTCCCCATGGTCAGATTATAGAAGCCCTCCAAAATGTATTGGACTTAAAAAAATGATGTTCATAACCAATAGATTACATCAAGTAAGTAAATTTTACGATTGCTTGTATCATTAGCAAGATCGAAACACACAGAAAGAAGACATGTTGCCTGTTAAAGGAAAGAGAAGCCAACCTGGTCAAGGACATTTCCATGTGTATCTTGAATGAGAGGGCGGTAGTCCCCTAAAAAGAACTGTTAAAAAAGAGAATAAAATCAGCATTTATTAAACAGAGTATCAAATAAACTAAAAATTGTTAGTATAATAAAGTACCTGATCATATTTAGCATCTCTCTGGGATTCACCTTGCCCAGTGCTCAATATATATAATTGACCAACATCATCAGAAAGAATAATAGATGTTCCATCTCTGCATGATCAAGAACACATTTGAATCAACATTTGGAAAATAAACTGCATCATTGTCATTTCCATTGAAACTATTTGAGTTGTCAAACGACAGAATCACATTCTTCATGTCACAGAAATTAATTACGCTTCACAAGATATCTACATATTTGAGCGAAATTTATATAGGAGTCACACTTCACAACTTCACCTATAATGGACTTTATGAAGAATGAGCAAATAAGTGATAATCTTTTCATTATTTTGATAATGAAGTTTTCATAGAATAATTGTCAGAGATCTAACATAAACTTGGAAGGAAAAAGGTTTTGGAGTTCAGAAGTACTTGTATATGAACAAAGGAGAGAAACAAAGAAAAAAGAAATTTTCTTATAAGCAGATCAACTCACGGTGAGAACTTCCCATCAACCAGCTTAAATGGACCAATTGGGTATGTCCGGATTATTGTACCTTCCCATATCTGGAAAAAACGGAAAAGAATCAAAGAAAGTGAATGTGTGAGGGGTAATGAAATAAAAGAAGCTCTTTTAGAAGATTATACGAAAGATTAGAAACTCACATCCCACACTATTGTTTTCCCATCATATCCAGCACTCATTGCTATGCGAGGATTAAAAGGATGCACATCCAGTACATAAGTCTACAAGGCATAAGATTTTGGCAAGATAAGGTATAGGCACAAAATAAGGTATAGACAGATAATGTACTCTACCAAAAAAAATAGTATAGCGTTAAATGCACATATGTCTCTCAGAGGAAATATCAAATTATCATTTGTTGAAAACACAGTACAACTTGTTGTCTTAGTAAATACTACAACTAATTACGCAATTTCAATTTATCATGCCATAGCAAAAAACTTACAGAATCAGTATGACCAGTCAGACAATGAACTAAGCTACCATCAACAGCATTCCACACACATATTCTGCAATCTGCAAATGGATGAAAACATAGTATGAATATGGTATAACACATTTACATAGAAGTATCAATCTAGTTTTGCACATGAAAGCAGCTCGCTAAAGGAAACTTCCCTTACGATACATCCTAATCCGCAAGAACTACCCAACACAAAAAAAAAAAAATCGTTCTCTTCTGAATCAATCATTAAATATTCCACAAAGTGATAAGCTCTAACCAACTCCGTGAACAAGAGCAAATATTTAGAGGGATTGGAAAAATAGTAGTTAACAAATATATACAAATCCATTACATTGAGAATCTTAGCAATTTAAGTCTCATAATAGTGAAAAGTTAAATCCATTTGAAGGTTCTTGCAGAAAAGAGTTTGAATATGCCCAATCTAAAATTAAAATTGCCTGAAGGGTTATTTGATTTCACCACATCAATTACATACACACATCACATGAGCAACATACCCATGATAGCTGCAAGAACATAACGATTGTCTAAACTCCATGCAATCATATTAACACCACGAGGGGTAGGTAGAATTCTTTGGCGTGGACCTCCTCGAGGGGGTTGAGGTGGCATCGGAGGTGGTGGAACTTTCAGGTGATACGCTCGAATCCACCGCCCAGTTTTTCCCTAGGAAAAAACAAGGTTCCAAGAACAACATTTAAACCAAATCAGCTAGACATACAGATAAGCACAATGAAACAAATGTTTTGTTATAGTTCATTACTATGCATAAAGTTTGAAAAGAGGATACAAACTCACATGTGATCTACGTGATCTTGGTATCCAAATGATTGCGCTACCATCACGAGAGCATGTAACAATATTATCGTGATTGAACCTGATCATCAACAAACATAACGAAATTATTTATTTTGGACAAGAATTCATATGAAAACAAGAAAACATGCAATAAATATCCAACACAAAGCAATACAAGATTTTATGACAACAGGCACACCATGTATTCTTGAATCTTGGTAACGCATCTTCTTTTGAGGCATCAGAAGGGAAAAATCTGGAAGCTGCCGCACAGCCACTGCATTACGGCACAGGAAACTATATGACTACATCAAACTTTATAAATTCAGACAAAGACATATCAACTTATACAAACCTGAACTGCACATAATTTACATCATTCTCATGACCAGCTAAAACATCTATCTCGTGATTAGGTTGCTCTGAATCATCTACACTGGATTTACAAGCATTCCAAACCTGTAATGATCAGCAGCCCACGAGATTGAAGATATCAAACTATGAAAAGAGTAGCAGAAATATGAAGTCTTCTTCTCTTATCATATATGTATATCAATTTACAAACTATCGTTGAATTTGATTAAATTGATAAAGCTGCAAGACAGATAATATTTTATTTTTCTTTGAGAAAACACGAGAATGGCAAGTCCACAACATAATTTAATTTTATACCCTCGCAAAAGTGTCAGAGCTGCCTGTGACAAAAACAGTTCCGCTAGCATTGAACGCACAACAGAAAATCTGGCATGTCTGCTGAGCAGTGCTGGATGAGGGAACACTATTTCTCCCTACAGAACTCAAATTAGTTGAATAACTTGGCAAAGAAAAAAACGAACTTAATAGAAAGCAGCAACCAACCAGCTGTAGGATCAGGTGGTCTTGGTACATATATGCGTGGAGTGAACTGGGAATATCTAGCATCCCAAATTCGACAAGTTCCATCATCAGAGGACCTAGGAGTGAAAATCCAAAAACCATTAGTTTTTTTAAACCAAATGCAAAAATGAACATGCTTACGCAATTTCACAGTTCATTGTGAATAAATGAAATAAGTGAATCTAGAAATATACAAAACCAAAATATTTTTTTTCAAAACAACTATAAAACATAAACATACTAAACAGATTGTTTAAATAGATAACTCCCTACCCAATAGAGGCACACAAAGTGAAATTAACTGTGACAGAAGACTATGTTGCATAGACACGGGGACGCAGACACAGTGAAATATGGAAAGGGATACGGGGAAACAGCAAAAGTAGGACACAGGAACAGGGGGAAACAGCAAAAGTAGGACACAGGAACAGGGGGAAACATGTAAATATTTAAAATACAGGGGTATATTTCAAAATTATAATGTGGGTGTGTCCATTTTTATTTATCTACAAATTATATTTTTAATGTATTTTCATACAAATATGTTCAAATAAATATTTACACATGCAAATAAGACGTGTCAAAATCAACAATCATGTCAGAATTCAAGTAGAAGGTCAACTGAGCAACATGGTGACTAAAGAATAAAACTCACGATAAAAGCTGATATAAAGCGCCTGGTCTAGGACTGAACGCAATAGCAGTAACTGCTCCTGTGTGACCCCGCAGTACAGAGATCGGTAACCCATCAGGCAGGCGCCACTGTCATTAGTAAAACTAAGTTAATATAGCCAAACATGCAGCTAAAAAGAAAAGCTAAAGCGAGAACTTACAACTCGGATTACACAGTCATTTGAAGCAGAAGCGACAAGAGTATTGTTGAAGTTCACCGCCAGGTCAGTGATGTCACCCTTGAAGCAAAAGATTGACAAATGAGGCCAAATAAAACCAAAGGAGGAGTGAGGTGTGTGTGTTGGGGGGGTGGGTGCAGGTGTTGCATCAAAACGATTTTATAATACTTATACTTACTTCATGTCCTCGGGAGCTGGCTAAGCAATATGCAGTTTCCATTGACCATACTTTAACAAGACGGTCATCAGAACCAGTAATAACATACCTCCCAGACCGGTCAGATATGGCTGCAGGCAAGCAAATATTTTAGATGGATATCTGACATCATTGCATATATATTACGCTTTGACGTATGAACCAACAATCCAGAACTATCCAATCAAGACCAGAATAGCATGTGAATATGTTTCTGAGAACATGATACTAAAACGCCATGAAGAACCATCTACTAATGAAAATTGATTTTCACTTTCAATCCTAGAGAAGAACATAACTGTAAAAGCTTACCACAATAAACAGCATTACGATGTCCCCTAACCCTTTTTTGGTTCTCCATCTTTTGCACCATTGTGGATGGTTTTGCGATGGCATAGCAAGCAGCACGAGTAGATGGCGCACGGTGATGCCTAGAAAAACCACCATTAATTTCCCTCAAACATAACCCACGCACTTGATCTGCCAGTCTGTGGGGCCAGCGCATGTAGCTTGGGGGACGTCTATCTTTGTTGTCCCGTTCATTGTGATCACCTTAAAGCAAGAGAGAGCAAATGAAAAACTTCCAAAGAACTAAATAGAACAAGGCTAAAACAAGTGCTGATGGTCCCCATTCAATCTGTTCTTAAGTTGCATAATCTATACTGATTTTTTGTTAACAAAGGCATCTTTTGTGAAAGTGATCAATCTAATCAACTAAAATTTATGTTAAAAAAAATGAAATGCAGGTAATACACACGTTATAATAAACACGTAAATAATGTTCCATCCAAATATTGTACATACTGGCCAGAAGTGAGAAAGATCCAGTTCCCAGGATAGTAGGTACTGTAGCTGCATTCACTATATTTCCACCAATCAAGTCTCGTGAAGGAGCAACTGCACCTACAATTAATTGCTTCAGAAGCTTTACCAAGTGATCTTTTTCGACATGTGGATGCCTAAGAACACAAGTTAAATTGTATTAATGAGTATAGTCCAAATCAAAGAAGAAAATGAAAAGACAAGAGATAAGAACTCCTTTCTGCACTCTCTCCATAAAGAAACGGTAAAGTGTCGTAAGGACCGACCCAGAACAAAATTTCCTTCGGTTAAGACAAGGTGGAATGGATAGAAATAAGCAATTACAGCATTTACCTTTCTACCAAATTAGCGTAACTCAGGGGAAAAGATATGCCATCATCATTTTCATCTCCACTCTGCATGCCACCACGTGAGTAAAATGCATGATATCTTCTAGGGAGAAGTTGGTGCTCCAAGAGTTCATTCCAAAACTGCCCATAAGTCCTGTGGCATGGTCCAGTGGAGAGGAAATGCATGATCAGAAAATATATCTCTCTAAGATCAATATCCACATCAGCTTCAGTAGGTCGCCTCTGCAAATCTGTCTCCTTGGCTTTCCCATTGTCCTTATTCGAGAAAGTCAAAGATTTAATATTGACAGGAGTCGAATTACCAGCGGGAACATATTTCCGGAGAGCCATATAGCCTGAAAAATTATAAACCGTCTCAGCCTTTCAGGCACACAAAACAGTTGACGAAAATAGCATATACTCTTTCTTCACTTTATGTGGTTTAGCCTTTCCGCAGACCTCTTAGCTAACACAACATTTTCTAGCACAATCATTGCCAATATCTCTAAGCATGGATCACAATTCTTGACCTCTCCAACAATGCAATGAAAATGTAAAGAAAAATAAAAACCAAAAAACCTTACTAATAATTTCCCATCAGTGGCTCACTGACCACATGCATGATTAAATTTTATAAAGGCTCTCGAACAAACGAAAGAAATTTGCAATAATCCATCCATGTGCAGCAAACATATATACACTTACAATCAAGGTAAATGTAACTGCTAAACCATTTGATCCGGCATTTCGAACCAAAATTTCAAATGAATAACTCACATTATTCAAAAGAATTATAGATATATCATAATAAAACATTATAAACCTAAACTTTATTATTTAAACATAACCCAAACATAGAAATCGATAACAATAATCGGTACCTTGCGAATTCTCTCGACAGGCTAACCCAGAACTTCAAATTCCAAAACCCTGACCAAACATCTCCCATGCGCATCACACTGTGGCATTGAAAAACAAAACCCTAGAATTTTAGTCCTCCACACTTCAAACTGCCGCATAGCAATAAAATAAACAATTGAACAACAATAAAACCCCGCCAATTTAGATCTGTATATACAGTATGCAAAAACGCCCCACAAAAAAATTGTACACCAGGAACGTAAAATACTGGAGTTCCCCCCTTTTTTCTTAGGGTTCTAAACACAATTGTAATTACCTGTGACGCAGTGCTACCAGAGAAGGAACAATGGAGTTCGCAAGTGAGGATAATAACAAAATGGGGATCGAATGTAACAATTTTTTGAGAAAAAAAATTATAATTTAGATATCTTGTTTCGAAGGAGAATTAAAAGGGATAAATAATTGAAAAATTATGGAGAATTGAGGTTGAATTTATTTTTCTTGTTAATTATTTTGTATATTGGAGGGAGCTCTGTGTTTCTTGCATACACCACTGTAGTTTGGTTCTTGTAAGAGGAGAGAGAGAGAGAGAGAGAGAGAGAGAGAGAGAATTGGGAGAGAAAAAATGTAGAGAGAGAGAGAGACGAAACGATTTTTCGTTTATATATCTTTACGCCCACTCTTGTTGAGTAGATGACCGAGTTTGGAAATATATGAAGGTATGGGTTTTGCAATTTAGTCCTTATTTGTTTGAAAATTATAATTCTAGACCCTCGTATTTTTTGGCATACATCAAACGACTTCTTTTTTCTTTCTTTTTTGGGAACAAAGTGACACTAAATTAGTATTTGATCCTCTTCCATTTTCTGTAAAGTTGACTTTCCCCAATAATTTTCACTTCTTGAAAATAGTTAGGGGTGAGAAAAAATTTGAGAAACCGAAAAACCGAACCAAAAACCGAAAAAACCGAGCCGATGTATACCGTCCCGACTTAAAACCGCAAATACGGTAAAAAAAATTTGAAAAACCGAAAACATCGGTTTGTGTATGGAGAATAAAAAAATTACCGAACCGAACCGATTTATACAAAATTATGTTTTTTTTATATATAGTATAGATACGTACCCAAGCGTGCTTCTATCTTTCGAGGGCCTCCATATGACATGTTTTTCTATTAATTAATTTTGGTTGTGACGTGTTTATTATTAGTTAATTTTCGGTTGTTATTTGTTAATTTTCCAAATAAATATAATGAAAGTCCAAATATATCGATTTTATGCCGAACCGATTCGAACAAATAGACGAAATCTAAACCGAAAATAAACCGAATTGATACCGAACCGTTAACCAAAAAACCGATTAACACCGAACCGAAAAAAACCGACATATTCGATTTAAAAAATATGAAAAACCGATATTATCGGAACGTGTTTGGTTTATTGGAAAAGCCGAGCCGTACTGACCCGTGCACATCCCTAAAAATAGTGTTGTCCTAGCAAGTTTTTCACCACATTGGTTGGCTTTTTTATTTTGTATGTTCCAAATTTTCAATATTTTGTTCCATCTTGTTCGTTGTTTTTTGGTCGTTATATGAATGTTAAATTATAGTCACTCTTTAAAATAAGATTAAATTACGGAAAACTCATCTTGTTTGAATAATTACAATCAATCCCTTCAACTATGTATTGTCTTACACGTTCACTTTTACACTGTCAAATTTACCTACTGAATGACAGGTTTTTTCGTAAGACAATACATAGTTAGAGGGGTAATTGTAATTACCCAAATAAAAAAGGGTTTTCTCATAATTTGACTTTCCGCAAGAGATGGTTGTAATCTGTTCTTATATTAAAGTCAAATTTATTTGTAATTTTATTTAACATCACCCTTTACGTATACATTAAAAAGAAATCATTTTAGATGGAAAATTCAATGAGTCCTACCAAAACAAAAAAGCATTAATTTTCGTATTTTTTATATTAAAAAAATCGTATGTTATTTAATTTTGAGGAAATGGGCCTTTTATTCTCTCTCTAAAACTAAATGGGCTTTTACATCATAACGATACTTTGGACACTAATAAAATATGGTGTAAGGCTGCAATTAGCCCAAAAACATTTTCTAACCCGAACCTAATTTTATATCCGACCCGGAAAAGTACTCCAATATAAGAGCAGGCGATACGGCGTCGTATCTTATTCTGTCACAGTTTGTTCAATCTCCCAAATTATAATTCTGAAATCGACGAAACCCAGAAAAATCAGACAGCTCGATTACTTCAATGGGATCGAATGTGATAACGCCAGATGACGTACTGGAGACTCTCATGAACGACGGCACAATCGATGCAATCCGGTTGAAAATTATTAATCAGCTCAAAGCGAACGTGAGATTTTTTTCTTCACCTTTTTTTTTTGTGTGTGTGTGTGTGTGTGTGAATAGTTTGCAAGTATGCTGTTTTAGTTGAGGAATTATGCTTTGAACGTGAATTTTTATATGAATATTCATCGCGTAATATACTCCATGGCTGCATTTTTGGCTGAGTCAGATTTTTTTTTTTTTTTTTTTTTTTTTGTTATGGGATTATTTATTCTTCTATGATTTTTGTGATCATTGAGTGTTTGGAATTGGTTGAGCACATTGGCCAAAATAATTTTTGAGAGTATGTTTGTTCTTGTTGAACGAAGATTCTTGTTTTCGAAGTTCAGGGAGTTGAGATGGAGTTTGAATTGTATGTAAGATTGTGTGGCTTCTTTATATAACTGCGAATTTAATCCGGACCTCAATGTACATCTGCGGAACTATTAGGTGTTTGGTTTTGGGATTAGAGTTTCGATTGCAATTTGTCCAGCTCGAATTGATGGGTAATGTCCAGTTCGAATTGGTCTTTATAGATTTATGATTACAATGTGCTGATAGTTCATTAACGGAATACGGATGCTTGACAAACACATGAAATATGTCAATCATCGACATGCAATCGTACTTCGCTGCGTTGTTCAGTTTTTGTGTTACTTTATTTTTTTCGTAGTCAAATTGGAAATTTAGAGTTTTGTGTGTTTTGTTATTTCTTCTGTAGAAGCTGTCGTATCGTCCGTTTCATTCTTTGCCTTGGTTCTCATTCGCCAAATGGAATAAAATCTTTGGAAATATGACATTTTTTTCTTAATGTTCCTATCATGCAAATTGTTTTTGATTTGAGCAAGAGAAGGGATGGCATTTCATCGGTTGGTATATACTGTGAAATACTAGGGTTGTAATGAAGGAGTTAACAAGCAAATGAGAAAGAAGAAAGATAAAGCATTGTTTGGCCACTAGGGGGTAAAGTTCAGGGGTAGTGTGTGGTTGTTACATCCCTGAACAAACATGCCCTAAGGGCTAGAGCATCTAAGTCTCCCTTAATTTTGCATTATCACTAATATACCAGTGATGATTTGACATTTATAACTAATTATAGGATAGTGACAAAAGCTAATTCGACATTAATTCCACATAATCGTCCAAAATCTCGTAATTAAGTCATCCTAGTTTGTTTGTCCTAAGTTTTAAACATCTATACTCAGTGAACTTGTTTCGGAACTTTTTCATTCACGTATTTTAATGATCGTGGTTGTCAAGAAAGTAGGGGTTCGTTCCTTTGTTGCATGAACATAGAAACAATTGTTTTTTTTTTTAAATGCTTTTCTATAAAGTAAGTTTCAGTCGAAGATGAAAAGACAAAGGCTTGTGTGTGTTGCAGGAGGATCTGAAGAGCAACACGATAAAAATGGTGGAACAGAGTAAGGTCCTCAATACCCCCGGTGCTGAGAAACAGACTAAACGAGAGTTATTTGACGCTCTTCGACAAGAGCTTGAGTAAGTGCTACGTTAAATTTTGTTAGTCTACTCGTTTTTTGCTATTTTCTTGATCTGATATAAGATCTTAATGGTTCTTTTATGATACCGGTCAACCCATTGACCAAGGAATCTTTATCTGCAAATCCATTTTGTTGTCATTTAACAAATTCAAGTTTAGTTTTTTTACGTCGTTTGTTGGCGATTGAATGCAGAACCCCAGTACTCGAGAAGGCGTCTAGATCGGTGTGGGACTTAATTTTGGACCAGAATGGTTTGGGGAAAGAGATTAGTGATACCGTTGAGAGAGTTTTTTGTCAACTAAGTGGCCACGAGCCACCGTTATTTCCTACGGTAATCAGTGAAGCACAGCCAGAGAAAGGAAAGGACATTATTACCCCTTCAACTTCATCCAAGAAACGGAGTTTTAGTCACATAAGTAAAGAAGAAGCAGATGCAGCTGCACAAGATTCGGCCAAGGGATCAGATGAAGCTGCAGCATTATCGCCCAATTCAAGAAAATAGAATGTGTGTTTACGATTCTGCCCCTTGCATGACCTGGCACGAACCGGAGCATAATTCTTAAAGTAAGGAATATCGCGATCTGATTCTTCTCGAGAAAAAGCGATAACTCGATAACTCCTTTCACTAGTTACTCTCTTGTAGTAGTAACAAGTAAGTTCACATGTGTTGAATTTTGTCTCTTGTCTGTATATCTTTGTTTGCTGTAGTTCTTGGATTAGTACAGTTTTATAAAATGGTACCAGTTTATTTATATTTCGACTTGGTGGGTCCCACTTGTCTGCCATCAAATTTGGTTAACTTAATGAAAAGTAATTAGGATTTAATTAAACAGCATTTAAAAAACTCAGAATACCTTTAGTAGGTCTTTCACGTGGCTACTCGGCCATCTCTTTTGAACACTTGACTTTTCAACATCCAATAACATGATAGAGATAAAATTTGGCTATCCTAACTTTATTTTAAATTAATTTATTAAAACCTTATCCATATTGGAAATTCCGTATTCAAATTGATTAGTTTGAAGTAAGCATATACGCTGAAATCACTATAAATAATACAAAATAGTTTTAATCAAATAATTTAACAAAATAGTTTTTAGCACATTGTCTTCAAATCAGGACTGAGATAATATATTATTTAAACGAAATTATTAATTTATTGAAAGTAAGCTCTTGAAGAATCCTTCTACTTTTAAAACTCCCACATAATTTCATTATATATACTCAAATGGATAACCCTCAAAACCCTTTACATTTTCTTCTCAATTACATTTCATTTAATCCCATTTAATTTAATCCCATTTTGTTTACCCTTCTTCATACATTGATCATTAATCTGTAACATTCAAAAAGAAAGAGAAATATCCGAAAATTCCATAGTATCGGAGTCCGTTTTTATCTATTTTTTTCAAGAAAATGTCGCCAAGAAAGATCAACAACATAACAAGTTCATCAGAAGACGACGGAAACAGGTCTACGGCAATCACAGACGAGAAGAAGATGAAGAGGATGAAATCGAACCGCGAATCCGCGAGGCGTTCGAGGATGAAAAGGGAGCAGCACATTAAGGATTTGAACGATCAAGTCACGTATTTCAAAACTAGAAGCAGCGAAATCGCGCGAAAGATTAGCGAAATCGAGGCGCGTTTTACGGCCGTTGGATCGGAGAATAGAATCTTGAGAATGAAAGGCGAGGATTTGAAGAAGAGGCTCGAATTGCTCGAAGAAATGCTGGCTTCTGATCATCAAGTTAATGATGATTGTTTGTTAATGGATATTTTGCAAGATCCTTTGATTAAACCATGGATGCAGCATACTTTTGATTCTCAAACTATTGATGGGATTTACCAGTTTTAATTAATCATATATGTAAAAACACACACACATACACACGTGTTCATGGGCAGAATTGCATGTAGTAACATTTTTACTATATCTAATGCTAGTTTATTGTAAATAGTGTAGAATCAAGAATGTGCTGTAAATTGATTGAATTTTTTTTTTTTTTAATTTTTTAATTTTTTTTTTTTGTGAATCGAAAATAAGTTTAACCAATAAGAAAAGTTTTATGAGATAGCTAAAGCACTTAATACTAGTTATAACTTATAAGCATATTGAAATGAATGAGGTGATGATCATTAGGGCAAATTATGGCCACTCCCTGAGGTATGGCTAAATTACGAAAAACCCCTCTTGTTTGGGTGATTACAGTCACCCCCCTTTAAATACTTTTATATAAAATTTATATAATTCGGTTATTTATCTAACCAAATCGTATATTTAGTTTGGTAAAACGGTATGAAATATTGGAGTACCGAAATTTCGGTTCGGTTTTACCGAATTAACAACCCTAAATTTACCTCTAGAGGGGTCTTTTCGTAAGATAATACATAGTTAAGGGGGTGTCGTAACTACCCAAATAGGAGGGGTGTTTTCGTAATTTGACAATAACTCAAGGAGTGGCCGTAATTTGCCCCGATCATTAATACTAACATTGGGAAAGAAAAATACTAAATGAAATATCACTAAGTAGTACATTTCAACTTCCATGCAGAAAGCGAACTAATCGGCGTCCCCTTCCACCCGATAATCAAGCTTTTACCGTCGAAATTGAACGTAAACGAATCTCCAAACGCAAAATTCTTGAGGACGAGATTTGCTTGATAAATCGAAGAATCGCTCAATTCGATTTCCTCGAAACCGAACCTCTCAAAAAATGCCCTCCAAACACTAACACTCACATGCCTTATCTTCCTCTCTCCCCCCTCGGTCGCAATAATATTCCTTATCGAAGAACCAAAACACGTCCCTTCTGCAATAAACCTATGCTTCTCATCGTTCTTCATACAATCCCCCATTAACTCGAAAGAAGCCCCGTAGAAAAATAAAGCCTCCACAAATCTATCCACAAAAATCGGAGAATTACAATTCGCCTCGACTTCGGTTACCACCATCACGCATGGATTAAGGGCTTTGATTAATTTCATCAAATGCTCGAGCCTATCCGACTGTCCGATCATATTCGTTAAAGCGAACTCCGCGTACACAATTATAGCTTCGTTTTCTTCTATCTTGAATTGACTTTTATCAAGATCCGATATATCGTCCACAATAACAACATTGAAAGAAAAGCGAAACCCTAATGAGTTCGAAAAGCTCGTTAGTTGTGTACCTGTCTTTTCCATACTAGCTCTAGATGTTTTCGTCCCGACAGAAGTGATTTTGAGATGCTCTACACAGTTTTCACTAAGTGCTTGCATTAAAATTGTGCATTGTATACCTTTACGAATTTCAAATATGATGAAGTGGATTTTTTTCGCGTCGCCTATATTATCGACTACCGATTGAATGCCCGCAAATTTAGTGATTTGTGAGAGAGGTACCTCTTTGTGAAAAGCAATCATTGTTTCTTCACTGCTTTTCAATGCCTCTAACGGGTCCTCGGTTTTTTTCGACAACCCTTTTCGTGTTATATTTCCCGTTTCTCCATCGATTTTTTCGTATAGAGCTTCGGTGAAATAAAACACCAATCTTTGAATAGGAGTCCCTTTTGGAGAACTCATCCTATCGCACTCGAGCAAGATTTTTTTCGCTCGTTCGTATTGTTTTGCGTTGACTTTTTCGGCGCATAAGAGTAGATTTTGGACAAGTTCAACTGCTTGGGAATCTTCTTTGGAGTGGCACAAAATTGAACTTGGATATGGGTGGCTTAATATAGACACTTCATTGCTTATTTGGGAAGTGGAATACTCGATGAAATTTTCGGAAGCTACTCGAATGATTTGCTCGATCGAAAGGCGAAAAGTACTCGGTTCATTTGCTTCGGTTCCATATTTTTGGAGATTTTTATTTTCGCCGTTGAATCTTCTGCATCTGCTTCCGTACTTGTTGAGAATCTCGAAGGACGACGACGACGACGAATGAAAACGATCAAACCCCGTTTTTCCGGGCTCGATTATTTTCTTGAATTCATCACCACACGATGAAGTATGCGGTGTACTCTGCGCAAATAAACTTGTACCACAAGTAAAGAAATCCATGTCAATTGATTCCGAGCCTCCCCATTCTTGATCACCTTCATAGAAGCCACTTTCCTTAGCTAATTTCTCTAAGTTGTATTCATCTGAAGCAACAGAGGTGGAGAATTGCTCTGTTTGGAAGATATTGTTCAACATTTTACTAATAATGTAATAATTAATACAAAATGTTTTTTTAGTATTCGATCACCTCAAAGGTTGTTATATATGTAATAAATTCAATAATTATATGTGTTGATAAATATTAAATAATAATTCTTGTTGTTGATGGAATATATTTTGTCTATATTATGGAAAGGCATTAGTTTGAATGTAAATATTTTATTTGGCCGGAGATATAACAAGGACGTAGAAAGAGACAACATATATTTCATAAGAAAAAACTACAATGAATGATCGACTGTGTAACACGGAAACCGAAACGGCGATACGCTGAAATGAGAAAAAAGGGTAAACGTGTAAATATTAAAAGTATAGGGGTATATTAATAAGGGTAAATTACAACCACCTCCCTGAGGTGAAGTGTAATTACAGAAAACCCCTTATTTTTTAGAAATTACATCCGCCCCTGAATTTTGTAAATTTCTTACATCTACCCCTACAAAAAGGGTGTTTATGTAAGAAATCTATAAATTGCAGGGAGGTGGATGTAATCATGAAAAAATGATGGGCTTTTTAGTAAATAAATCTTACCACAGGGGTGTGGTTGTAATTTACCCTAAACATATATAAGTTTTTATTTATATATAATTATTTTTATATTATTATTATACAAACATATTCAAAATAATTTTTTTTAGCAACTATCAATTTGCAATCGATCATTAAATTATGTCGATAATTTGGGAAACGGCAAAAATATTTAAAAATTTGCTATTCAAACATGTTTTTAGCTTTTTAGGTGTCCGGTAGGTGTTTCGAGTTTCCAACACGAAACTTATTCGAAACGTAAAAACGTTAACAGTTGAAGTTTCCATACTACACAGATGATCGAAAAAATATTATTAAAATAAAAAACTAATTTTATTTTACTAGGCGTACGGGTACCATAGACCGCATTGCACGGTCTACTATCCGCCTCCCTGCAGTGCCGTTGACTTGTTAAGTCAAGGAAAAGATCGAATACAAACGCGTCTTTAGCTCAAACCGTAAATTGCCCGGAATAAATAAACCGCAGAAGAACGAAGCAAACAGCCAATAAACATGCACCTCGTCAGCAGATATTTCATCGAAATGACGTGTCACATATATTAAATATTTCCTACTTCTTCACCCAACACGCGCACACTCTTTCTCTCTCTCTCTCTAATTTACATTTTGCGAATTCTTATCGTCTTCGTTTGGCGCGGTCCGATCTACCTCGAGAGGCAAAAATGGCGGAAGACAAGTACAATCGGAAGAACCCAGCCGTGAAGAGGATTCTGCAGGAGGTGAAAGAGATGCAATCGAATCCTTCTGATGATTTCATGAGCCTACCGCTCGAGGTATCTATTTTTAATTTTTGGTACAATTATTTTGTAATTTGATGTTAATTCGTGATTTTCCCCAATTTTTGCTGTTTTTTTTATACTGGAAATGGTTGTTATTTTTATATAATTTTAGGAAAGTAATTTGAGATTAGTGACCGTCTGCTTTAGCACGATAGCTCCAGATTTTTCGATTTGTTGCGTGATTTTGTTAATTGGGTTTTTATTTCAGCTAATTAATTGTCTAGAAAATGAGGTTTCCCCAAATTAAGAGAAATGATCAGATCAGTGTGACCTTTTTCAGAAATTGTTCTAATGAATCTCTTATTAGTGTTGCCGAATTTACCTTTTGTTTTGTTGCTTTCGAGGATGGATCTGGATAGAGGTGTTCATTTGAAGATAACTGTTGCTTGATATGCTGTAATTACTTTGGGAATATGTGGTTTTGCTACCATTCATGATTTTACCTTTTTTAATTGATGATAATGTCTGTGGATATGCACTTGATTTGATTTGGAGTTTTTACCAAGACTTGTTCATTGGACAAATCGAACTTTGTAACTGAATTAACTTGAGTTTTATATGATTAAGAATAATGGACTTGGGAATTAAAAGTCTCCGGTTTAATTTATTGCTCCCGTGTTTTTTGTTTGTCCCCGTTTTGATTCTGCGACGCACAGGTTTTAGTTTACCTATTGAAAACACTGATTTCATGAGATTTGACCTGTTATCGACTAATAGAACTAAATGAACTTTTTCTTTTTATGATCATGAATGCACGATTTTTCCTTTCATAATATTTGTATTGTGTAATTACGGCTTGATTTGAACTTCGAGATCCTCTATTTTTTTTTTTTAAACCTTTTCTGTCCATTTTGATTTCATGTGATGGAACAAGATGCTGCATATGAGAAAAAAAACATAGTGATCTTTCTTCTTCTCAATTCTTGTACATCAATCCTGTTTGATTGTCTCTGTAATCGAACATCTTTTTCTCCCAGGAGAATATATTCGAATGGCAGTTTGCAATCAGGGGGCCAAGAGACTCCGAATTTGAGGGAGGAATATATCATGGAAGAATTCAGTTGCCTGCTGAATATCCTTTTAAGCCGCCTTCATTTATGTTGTTGACGGTATTGCATCAGTTTTCTTAAGCAGCTCACCAGTCTTCGTTGAATAATTTAAACATGAGGTTCACAAACTTTATGTTGGATTTCTCTGATTTTGTTTATTATCTTTTATAGCCTAACGGTCGGTTTGAAACCCAAACAAAGATATGCTTGAGCATTTCAAATCACCACCCTGAGCACTGGCAGCCATCCTGGAGTGGTATGTTCTTGTTTGGAACATTTACTATTGATATTAATGCATATGGGTTATAGAACATTTATCCATCGGTGCATCGATCAATTTCTTTAATCAATTTACATGTTTCTGTTTTGGGATATCTCAACATGTGATTGGTGGCAATCTTGCTTTAATCAGCAGATATTTAATGAGTGTTCTGTGTTATACATATTTTATTGGTTTTATATGCGAGTGAGAATCACATTTGGGGATCTTTTTGCAGTGCGCACTGCTTTGGTAGCATTAATCGCATTCATGCCTACCAGCCCAAACGGTGCACTGGGATCCTTAGATTATCCAAAAGATGAGAGGCGAGCTCTTGCAACTAAATCTCGCAATACAGCTCCCACATTTGGATCTTCTGAACGCCAAAAGCTGATTGACGAGGTTTGTTTTGCCCTAATCTGTAAAAAAAAAATTAATTTAATTTTTTTTAATAGTTTCCATCATCTTAAGCTAATACTCAGCACTCTTATTGTTAGATCCATGAATATATGCTGACCAAAGCGCTTCCAACTTCTCAAGGCGAGCAATCCTCTGAAGCAAACACTGGTAGTGAAGAAAGCCCACAGGGTCCTCAAACTGACATAGAGACAACTACTGAAGCTATTCCCACTCCAGCTGAAGATGATGGAATAGTCGAAGAAGAAGAAGACGAAGAAGCACTTCCCAATCTAACTGAAAATGGTGGAATTATTGAAGAACCAAACGAAACACACACAGTGCTCGCAAATGCACAGCAAGTTTTGCGTAAGCCAGAATCAAGAGTTGCCAAACCTACCGATGACCGTCTCTTCACATGGGCAATTTACGGACTTACCTTTGCTATAATTCTTCTTCTGTTGAAGAAGTTCCTGAAAGCTAATGGCTACGGTGCTGTCTTTATGAATGAGTCCTAAGTATTTCGGTAAATATTTCTTACTAGTGTTATGTAGTCGGTGACCCAAAGTAAAAGATTATATCGCGCGGCGGATGAAGATTATGGTGCTGTCTTTGTGCATGCATCTTATATGTAAATCTTTTTTTGCTTTTCAATTTAGTGGACTGTTGTATAGGTTATATTATGATATGATTATGCATAAAACTTATGAACTTTGTAAAGAGCTGAACTAGTTTACCGGAAGGTAATTGCTCTCTTGAGTTGGATCTTATAATATTACTTGCGTTTACGAGCATGATTCGGGGTGAATTCTGTTTTGTTTCATTGGTTATTACAGTAGAATCTCGATAATTTCTTTTGGTCTCGACTCGGTAAATTAACAACATCACTTGAATAATAATTTATTTTGGTCATGACTCGGTAAAAGCGTTGTAAATTATTAGTTCGATAATTTAATATTTTTGCTAAATTAATAGAATTTTGTTAGTTAATTTATAGTGGTTTGACTTTATAACCATGAAATATAAAAGTAAATTCACTAAAATGTATCCCATCTCTTCATTTTGATAAAACAGGGGTGCTGCTAAATGCAATTTGCTAAAACAGGGGTGCTAAATGCAATTTGATAAAAATAAGGGTGCTAAATGCAATAAAATCGATGGGTTTTTCAGAGTAAAGAAAAGTTGTTAAAGGTTGAGCCTATCCATTTGCACGGCCATGTTGTCTCCTTCATCGGTGAGCTTCGCGGCGGTATTACTGGCAGTCAAAGTCAACGGTGGCGGCGATAGTTTAGGGTTTTAGGGTTTAATCAAACTCCGATCAGCTCATCAGATACCGAAACCACTATGATTCCCAAACTACCAGACGAATTGATTATTGAAATTCTCGCAAGGCTCCCGGTAAGATCCCTCTTGAGATTCAAATGCGTTTCAAAATCATGGCTTTCCCTAATTTCCAGCCAACAATTCGTCGAAACCCACCTCTTTAACTCAAAGAAAAACCCTAATTTCACACACCACAGTGTTATTCTAACCTGCGAGGGGAAGCTTGAGCGATCTTCAATTCCCTCCCTGTTGTCAAACGACGCCGTTTTTTATGTACTACACTCGGAATTCGCGTATGGTTCCGGAGAAAATCTAGCTTTCGTTGTCGGTTCTTGTGACGGATTGATTCTCCTTTCCTGTAACGACAAAGATTTGTTCTTGTTCAACCCATCCACAAGAATCCACAAAAAGCTGCCCCGTTTCGGCGAGAAGATAAAGCGCGGCCGTCGTTGCAGCCACGGGCTTGGTTTCGATAAATCGAGCGGCGATTACAAGGTTGTGGGGTTGTATTATACTGACAAGGACTTGTCCGAGGTGAAGGTCAAAGTTTACAGCTCGAAGAACGATCGGTGGAAGAGCGACCGATGGAAGACGAAGACTACGGTCAACCGTTCGAACATGCGTCGGGTGAGGGGTGAGCTAGGTGCATTTGCTCACGGGAAGCTGCATTGGATTTGTCATTCTTCGTCGGGGCGTGGATCGGAATGGAGCGTTGTTTATCTTGATTTAGAGACGGAAGAGTATGGAGAATTGCAGATGCCGAATTACGAAGAGAACGAATTAAAATGTGGAGGCCCGGTGTTGGGAGCATCCGAAGGAAACCTTTTCGTGCTCGTCGTTTATCCGAGTAGTGCGGATATGTGGATTATGGTTGGCGGTTACGAAGGATCGGGAAACGAGTCTTGGACTAAGGTGGTTACTCTTCCTTATGATGGTGGCTTGGTTTATCCTCCTTACGTTGATGGCTCGGTTGAACTTCCTTATGCTGATGATTTTTCCGCGTATGCTAATAGATCGCCGTTGTATATGCTGTTGCTTTGGTGTTCGTCGATTGTGGTTTTCGATGGAAAGGGTTTCACTGCCAGGAGTCGTCAGATTCGAACCGATAGCCGATATTATCAAGCCGACACTTATTTGGAAAGTTTAGTCTCCCCATTAGGGTGATAATCTTCTGTGTTATTTTAATATCTGGGAATTATAATGTTTAAGCACATGTACCAGTCTTTTTATCGTCCTTTTTTTTTTTTTTTTTTTTTTTTTTTTTCTTTTTTCGAACTGGCGATTAGCCTTTGATGTATTAGATGCAGAATTTCCAATCGATCTGTCGAATAATATAGGTTGCGTGGTTGGATCTTGTGACGGATTGATTTGTTTAGCCGTCGGTGTAAAAGATTTGATCTTGTGGAACCCGTGCACAAGAACTCGCAAAACCCTGCCCGATTTCGGTGTGGAAATAATCCGCGGCAGTTATTTCATTTACGGATTTGGTTTCGATAAATCGAGTAATGATTACAACGTTGTGGGGTTTTTCAATAGCGACAACGACTTGTTTTTCAGTAGTCACGTGGTGGTCAAAGTTTATAGCTTGAAGAACGATTGATGGAGAACGATCGAGGGTTTCAAGGGTCGTTGGTCGATCGACGATGCACTGGAGTGCGTATTGCGAATCGGAGAAGGAATCTGAATGGAATATTATTTATCTCGATTTAGAGACTGAAGAGTACGGAGTGTTAGAGGTGCCGAATTGTGTGAATGAAAAAGGTTGTTCTTGTTCGATGCTGGACGAATCCGAAGGATGTCTTTATGCTCTGTGCGATTATCGAGATAGTGCGGATGTGTGGATTGTCGGTGATTGTGATGGATTGGGAAACGCTACTTGGACTAAGGTGGTCAGCGTTTCGTACGTCGATCGTTTCTTGAAGTCGACCTGTAAAACGGCGTTTCGTGTGTTGAAGAAATACGGCAAAGTGCTGTTGCTTTGTGGTTCGACGGTTGTGGTTTTCGATGTAGAGGATTGCACTATCAGGTATCCCGAGATTAGAAACCATAATCAATTTAGTACAGCCATCACTTATTTTGAAACGTTGGTTTCACCGTTAGATTTAACATACGTGGATTCAAATGTTTAAGCATATGTACGAGTCCTTTTGTTATCGATTTTTTTCGTTTTCGTGAACTGGCTATTGGCTTTTGATTATCTGAGTTTTTGCGGAGAAGAAATTTTCGGCTATTTTTACGATTAACTTCTCGCTTCTATGAACCATATAAGCCTTTGAAATCCAATTTGTAGGCTGATATCAGATATCAGAACATATAGTTGATGTTGAACAACGATGAGTAAAAACGAGAGCGATAAATAAATTACGAAATTCGTTTGTTCTGTTTCGAGTAGTTATTTTCGTTAGTTGTTTTGATGCAGTTTATGTTGTTCTTTATCATGATGCAATAACTAAAACATAGTAAGAAAATATGTTCTGAAATATTCATGTAATAAATCATAGCATTAGCATCTATATAGATAGGTATGCTGTAAATAACTGAAATTTACATATTATATATAACATCAAAAACAAAATATTATCATTCTGAATATAAAAAACAAATGGGTTTAAGGGGGGTGTTTTCACATGAGAAATTAAGATCAACCCAAGAGGGATATAATAGCAAGACAATTGCTAGTCACATTAGTCAAGTTTTCGGCCAAGCCCGAGAAAACGGACGTCTCCCCGATGCTCGAGAACCCGTCCTCGCAATCTCCGACGTTGGTTATCACAGCACTCAGCATGCTGTTCATCGTACCTATATCCTTTTCGTGCAAAGCGTCGACGGCGTTTTGGTAATTGTACGCGGCGGTGTCGTAGCTATCCTTGCAGTCCTTGATTACGGAGAGAACCTGGGGCGGCATTCCGGGCTTTTCGGACATGGTCTTCGCGAGCGAGAGGGCGTAGTCGGACAATTTTGACCCCACCCCTATGGAAACTTCTAGAACCGAGGGGACATCGTCTTTGCCCTTGAGGAGCGGAGCAATGGTTGTTAGGCATAGGGATGAGTGGTCGGTGGAGTCGCAGATTTTCTTGACTTTCGGATCTACGTCGTCGGTCGGTGCTGACGTGTCGAGGATTGAGCTGAGGTCGAATGATGGTGCGGCGAGGGAATCGAGTTTCGCGGGGCCCGCACCGTCGTTCGACGACGTGGAGAATGAGTCGAGTTTCGCAGCGCCCGGACCATCGTCGTCGTTCGATGACGTGGAGAATGAGTCGAGTTTCGCGGCGCCCGGACCATCGTCGTCGTTCGATGACGTGGAGAATGAGTTGAGTTTGGCAGGTGCCCCACCGTCGTTGTCGTCGTTCGATGACTCGTCGGGTGATTCGGGTTTGGCTGGAGCCTCGTCGTCATCGTCGTCTTCTGAGTCATCTGAGTCCGATGACTCGTCGGGGGATTCAGGTTTGGCTAGAGCCTCGTATTCCCCGTCGGGTGATTCGGGTTTGGCGGGGGCCTCGTCGTCGTTGTCGAATGATGTGGAGGTGATCAATGTCGCGGCGACGGCCGGGGGGTCAGCGGCGCTGGGGGAGATGGATGTTGATGGGGGGTCGGAGATTGTCGATGGAGGGAAAGAGCCGTAGCTCGGCGAAGGAGATGGCGCGGTACCGTCGTCCGTCGGGCCCGCGGACGAGGCACGCGGCGATTGTGCGGTGGGGGAAGCGGCGGGAGAGAGCTCGGGTTGTGCGGAATGGGAGGCGATGAGGAGAGAGAAGGAGAGAATGAGGAGAGAGAGAGTGTTGTGGATTGCCATTTTCTTGATTTTTTTTTTTTTTTGGAATGATGGAAGGCAATGAAGTTGGAATGAATAGGAAATGGTGGGGATATAGGATGGTGTTTTGAGGGGGGGAAGTTGGTTTGATTACCGGTAAATAAAATGGGCAGTTGTGAGTGAAAATAGGAAGACCAAAGAGTTTGCTTATTTTTAGCAGTGGTCTTAATTTTGTTGTCAAGGATAGTCATACATTTGGATATAAGAATATGGTGTCATTGTTCAACAACTTTCTTACAAGTTTATTAGCTATTGGTTTATTATTTCGACAAGTTACTGCACGAGAGTGAATGTTTATCCATTACATTTAGGGTAAATTACGGCCATCCTTTAAGGTAAGGTAAAATTACGAAAAACTCCCTACTGTTTGGGTAGTTACAATCATCTCTCAACTATAAATCTTCTTACATGTTCATCCTTGCGGTGTCAAATTTAGTGAATCTTGTAGATTATATGAAATATTCTCCAGTTTGTAGCCATTTTACCCCATTCGAGCTCCACATTTTGAAACAAGATGATCATAAGACGTGTCTTTTGGCTTGTAAATATCAGATTGTGGTGCATAAAAAACTGCATGTTTGCATAAAACGAGTACAAACTAAAGAACATTCCATAGAGTTTAGAAGAATATGTTGGACTTGGCAGCATAATGGTAGACGTACAAGAAGATTCATAGTTGAATTTGACACCATATAGGAGTGATTGAATTGAGGTTATTAAGCCAAAAGTCGCAAATTTCAATCATTATATTCGAGTGAATGTGGGGATCTACGCTACTAAAACTTTGAAGAGGGGTCGTTTTCTCCGCAGCCCGTCGCGATCAAAATCTTGGGTCTCGTTTACTTACGAACGACTACCCAAAAATCTTGGGTCTCGTTTACTTACGAACGACTACCCAACTTTAAGCGATGCCCACTTTGATTAGAAGATGGCTAGCAATTACAAAAGAAATTATCTTATTTTTCTTGATTTAATTTATTGGGAGATTGTGCATTACACTAGCCAACTAAAACATAATTATGTAAAGCAAATGAATATATTTTCCAATTGTCATTTTATTGAATTGCCCAATGTTGCAAATGGCTAAAATTCAGCTTACAACAGGATGCACACAAACACAACTAAAAAAACTTCCAGCATTCAATTACAGGCAACATAAATTATTACCAATTAGAGCACTAAAAAAAACAGAGTTTCGAAAACAACACAAATAATAAACTCCACAAGAAAATCACTCGACCCCGTTTTAGTCGTGGCTCTTCACAACGGTAACCGGACATGTAGCATTGTTCACCACAAAGTTGCTGACACTCCCCATAATAGCCCTGCAATAATATCGTACACAAATAAATCAATCCATGTTCCGTTTAGTTTTCCGAATCATCGAATAAAGTAAACCGTGACATCGTTTTTATCCGTCTAAAGCTACATCTGCAAAAATTCAACATATCATTTATAGTCGAACCTTTTGATTTTGCCGAGGCCTCTGTTTCCGATGACAAGGGAGTCGAGTGGAACGTTGTCGATGGATTCACATAGCTTCTCTCGAGCATCGCCCCAGTAGATTTTCATGAGCACAGTGATCTGCATTTCAATTTTCGTAAGCCATCAAAAGATAAATAGATCAATTATTATAATTGATAAATCTTTTTTATAAAAAAGTTAACAAATTAATTTTTACCTCTTTCTGACTTGCTGCGGTGGAGACCATATCCAATGTTTCGGGATCGGGGGTCAGCCCGTATTTCTTCATGATGTGTGCGTTCGTCAAATCGCTCAGAGGAATCAACGCTAACAGAATTACAATAATCAATTTGTGAGAAAACAAAAAAAAAATGTCTAGAACAGGTAAAACCTAAGACAATCCAAATAAAAAATAAAAAATTATACATATATATATAATTATGTATATACATAGTTCATGTGACTTCAACAAGATCACACATTTAATAGCCGGAGCTAAGATTTCATACATTCAATATTTGGATAAAAATTTAAATTAATTATCAGATTAACTATAAAATAAAACTCTTAAAACACCATTTATTGATCCACATAACATGAATTAATTATGAACAAAAATCAAAATAAATAGCAAGATCAATTATTTAATCTCCACACTTTCTACCAGCACATGATAAAAATCACCAATTATTTACTAAAATGCACTTCAATAAACCAAAAAAGTCAAATCCTTATGGTCAACAATCGGATCAAACACTGATCTACACAATACACAAATTAAACAGAAAAAAAATCTTACTTTTACCAGATCGAAAAACATTAAGTCACATGCAGTTCTAACAAACAAAAAAATTAGAGAGAGAAAAAGATAGGGTGAGATGCGGTGCATACGAGAACCGGTGGCCTCCCAGAGCTGCATCTCGCCGGACTCATAGTAGCCTTCGGGGCGCACGGTGACGAGAATCAGGTGATCGCCGCTCCGGGTGAGGTTATCAATAGCCCACTTCAGAGCTTTTCTGCTGCACGGTGAGAAATCCACTGCCACGCCTACTCTCCTGCAATCTCCCATCTTTATTTAATTTCTCTCTCTAGAATTTATGTGCTTTCTCTCTCTGAGATTTGTGAGGCAGAGTAATGTCTGTCTGTCTGCTTTTTTCTTTTAGTCCGACACGACGCAATACGAATGAATACAAGGTGTTGAGATCACCATTAAATATTAATTTCTTCTGTGTGTGTGTGTTTTTGTGTGTGTGAGAGAGAGAGAGAGAGGAGTAAGTCGTGATGAGAATTATTGAGCGTCTTTTGTTTTCCACCGTTGATTTGTGGAGAAGATAATCATAAAAAATTAAAAGTTGTTAATTATATATTATTTGAAATATTATTGAATATGTTTTAAAAAAGTCTAGCTAATAATTTTTTTCCTAATTTTGCTCATTCGTGAGTTGTCATACAACTTACAATGGGTAATCAAAAATTGTATTCGAAAGTTTTGAGGAAATTGAATGATAATATAGTCCTTACTTTAGGATAATAATGCCCTACCACATGGCAACTTGCAAAATAGAAATAATGGGTAAATTACCTCGTCAGCCGTCAATGTAAGGTTAAATTACGAAAAAACCATCTTCTAGATAATGTCACATTTTGAAAAAAATGATTATAAGATATTTCTTTTGGCTTGTAAATATCAGATTGTCGTGCATCAGAACTGTATTTTTAAACAAGACAAGTTCAAATTAAAGAATATTCCATTGAATCTAGGAAATTATGTTGAAATTTAACACCATAAAGATAAACGTGTAAAAATATTCATAATTGATGGGTAGTTGTAATTACTTAAATAAAAATGGTTTTTTATAATTTAACCTTATATCAGGTGAAGGGATTTTTTTATAATTTGACCTTATATCATACCGTAATTTATCCAAGAAATAATTATCTTATAACACAAAAAGACAAAACACCACATTTTGAAAAAAAAATAGTCGATGTGCAATATTGGATCAAGAATTTTGATGACAAAATAAATAAATAAAAAATATTAATGCCTTGACAACTCAGTTCCATCACAATTTTTTCATATTAAAAATATAAATAATATCAATTTGGAGTATTATACTTGGTCTTCTCAAAATAAGCGGTGTTCTGCACGCGCGTGTAAATTTGCTTCTTTTTAGCAGTATTTGGGAAAATTATATTTTAGTCCCTCAAGTTTAATTTAATTCTACAACCGGTCCTTCTTATTCACAAAAAATAGATTTAGCCCATAATGTTTCAACAATCTAGCAGTTTTGGTCATTTCCGTCAATTTTCTGTTATTGCCAGCAGAATCAAACGTGTTTCCATCAATGTATTAACTGACGAGTTAACGTTAAATTGACGAAACTGACAAACAATATTAAACTGGTGAACCCTGATGAACTAAATCTATTCTTTTGTGAACAAGGGGACCAAATATGGAATTAGTGCAAACTTGAGGGCAAAAAGTATATTTATCCCACCTTTATTTAATTTTATTTCTACTTTAAAAGTATGAATATTTATATTTCTTATACTTTTTGGTAATATACATATTAGGCATCTATGCATCAAAGGTTGCTTAATAATGTAACATAAATATTAGAAAATTAGAAAGCACACAAAAAATTCTTCTCCACACAACATAACTGGAAAAATGCCAACTAATATTATAAAAATAGCTAAAAATAAATAAATAAATAAGTTATTTATTTAATCTCCTACTGAAAATGGTGAAGGAGAAAATAAACTGTTGAGAAGAACACTCCAGTAAACAGAAAAACCAGAATCAACATAGCCAAACTTAATCCTGCAACCCCCAAACGAGTCCTGTGATAAACATGCCTTATAATCCCACACAATCCTATCCTCCTTGATTGATAACCATTTATCTCTTCACAAAGTCCATTATAGTAAAACTCCTTCACATTTAAATCCACATGCAGCTTCTGAAAAAGAAACACAATCTCACCTTCTCTCTCGTGACCATCGATAATAATCTCCTTATTACGAAAAAACCGCACATCCGGATTGGACTGGATTAGCCTTTCCATTAGGGCTACGTAGGACGTCACGTGTTTCGAACATGCGGGGTAGTGATTTTCCATTGCGATTAGATTTCTGAACAAGATTTCGGTGTAGCTGTGGATTTCGAGAGACGGGATTTTTAATTCTCCATCGTAAAAACTCACGTTAAACGGACTTTCCGAAATCGCCCTTTTGACTCTTATCCCGAGGGAATCGAGATTTGTTGCATGAGGAATATTCTTCTGAGTATTACTACTTGAAAGAATTTGTGGAGATGTAGGAAGATAATGCTGTCGAATTAGGTCTAATAAATGTAGTGTTTGAGGCGGGCTAGATATTTTCCGAGGAAAATGTGCATGATTTTCGGGGATTAATTTCCGGAAGAAACACAATGAAAGCTCGACGAGTGACATGTTACACTCTTTAGGAATCGGGACTAAGTGGAAGAGTTTTTCAAGAACGAAAAACGGGACTTGATTTTCGAATAATATTAAATCACATCTCAACTTGAAAATCACATCGTTTGTGCCGAAGCAAATATCATCCCTACGCCTTAAACTCTTGAAGGCAAACTCGAGAAAGAGCTCGATTATGAAACAACCATCGATTAACATCATTTCTACGAAATTATCGCTTACCATTTCGATTTTTTCGCCATAGAAGTTTCTAGATTTTTGCTCCATTCGTTTAAGTGCCCTTATGCATGTGTCGAGAGTTGCGTCTGAGTACGGCTTTCGATTTAGTAACGTGTTTAAATATCGCCACTTTTTATCTTGCATGAGTTTGTGAGTTTCATTGCCGTTGTGGAAGGGGCCGATTGAGACTAAGGAGGGGAAATAATTATTTTCGTTACCTCTGAAAAGTTGTTCGTGAACTTTGTAGATGCAATGTGACAGAGAAATGGACTCCATTTTTTCTTTGATCGAGGACTGAAGCGTAATATTGTCGTTCGTGATTTCGATCGAGACATGGTCTCGTTCCGTAGCTTGTATTTCGAGCGATTTGCTTCTTGCTCTCGTCTTTTCCCTGAAATCCATATTTTCTCTGTCCTGCAAAATATTGATAAAAAAAACTATGGAGTAAAATATAAGCTGTTAAAATTAATTATTGATGACGAACAAGTAGAAAAACTTGCCTAAAAATCGTATGTCGACCGAGAAATTAAACGAAGAACTTTAGCTTATATTTTCATAGTGAATTATGAGGAATGTACTGCATGGATTTTGTGAATGTTTTAAAGACACAAAAAATGCTGGCTGGAATCAAAGGTTGCTTGAAGCAGAGGATGATTATTACAAAAGTTAAAGCATAAAAGAATCAAGGAATTAATTAATGACTAAAACTGAACTGGAAAGAATTTTATATATATTAACTTGCATGATCATAAAGAATTGTGTGGCTTTGCACCAAAGTTATTCCATAATTACATCCTAGTCCTACTTACTTTATATGGTGTATTGGTGTTGGATGGTTGAGATTGCTCTCCATTCATGCCCATCTAATCCGTGTCATTATATATATTTTTATTAATTATATATTGTGATTATATTTGATACGGGCTCAATTGTCCAAAAGCCTGTATTAAAAGAAAAGCTCTACTCGAAGTCCAAAGATGACCCATGCCTAAAACCGTCTGATCTACTACAAGTTGTTAAAACAATCAAATAGTCGTGAACATGGCATGTGTAAGCAGCAGATGTGACCACATTTAGCCCAACATTAGAGACGTAGGTGGAAAACCTGCACCAGAACGTGGATTAAAAAGAGGTCCACCAACCAACAATGAGCTCGCTTGAGACAATTAAGAGCAACCACAAAACTACACATGTCACAACATGAGGAAACACTCTGCATTCAGTAGGTAAAAATAGCTTGCAACAAGTAAAAGTGGGGTGTGGTTGGGGGGGGGGGGGGGGGGGGGTATTATATTCAGTATAGAATTCTTTGAAAGATATACCGTTTTATACTTTACTCGATTGACTTAACCGTCAAAGTACTGATGTCGGAAAAATCTTCTTAACACTCCTTCAGTGCAAGCCCCCTAAGGCTGTTGGGCTCCTCTTTGGATGGGTTCTCTCTCACATTGGGCTTCTCTTCATTCTCAAGGCCCATTCTATATTTATTATTATTATTATTATTATTATTATTATTATTATTATTACGGCCAGCCTAGGCCGCCTCATTAATTATTTATCAAGTATTTTCCGCCTAAAATAAATGAAAATAAATAAGTGCAATAGAGACTTCAAATATATGTATCTATATATCACAGTACAGCGCACAGTCAGCACTAAGCACTAGACTGAAGGAGCTGCATTTTTAAATTTTTTTTTCATTTTTTCTTCAGCTCGTGAGTTGCGCTTTCGATTCGATTGAAATTCGTGGATTGAGTCCGCCTGTAACCTCTTTCTAGGGTTTAATCAGAACGTTTTCGAATCTGATCCCATCTGGTGTAAACGATGGCTTTTTGGTGGCCGCTGGTGGTTATCGGCTTCGCCGTCGGGATCTGCAAACTCCTCTTCATGCTCATTCCCTACAATGTACCGTCGATCGATGTTGACGCCTCCGATAGTACGTATTTCACGCTCACCTTTATTTTTTGAACCTATGCAGACATTCGCCTGTATTTATGTATGTATTTGTGTGTTTGTATGTATCTATGTATCATGATTCATGCTTACATATTATATGTGCGGCGATACATTCTCTTGGATCAGTTCTCGTTCGTTATTTTTTATATCTTCGCTCAGTGAGCTGAGGCGCTGCTTTGTGCTCAGTTCAGTTGAAGCTCGGTTAGAGTTTATTCATGGATAATCGAACCAACATAATTTCAAGTTAGGCAAAATTCGATTAGTTTTAAATCTCTGGTCACAGATACAATAATGTGTGTATAGTTTTGGTTGATTTTGTATTTATTTCGATTCGACTCGCCAAATGCACAGGCCGGTGGATTGCTTCTCTTTTCTAGTCTGTTTTGAATCTCTTGCTAGAAAATAGTTACTTACAGTGTGATGTTTCTCTTGTATTTCTAGCTAAATTCGATTTGATGATATTTTGTGATGGCAGTATTGGATGATGGGAACCAGGCGAAGGAGAACAGCTTCATTTATGTAAGATTTACGTATATTGCTCTCTGTCTTCGGCAATTTTTTTGTTCAACAGTATATTTCCTTGTTTGGTATTTTTTTATTTGAAGTAATTTTACTTTCCTTTTGGCTTTCTCACTGTCGTGGAAAGTCATACTTCTGGAATATTTGGGAAACAAAAAAAAAAGGTCGACAGATTATAAAAGTCAATGTAGAAGTTTGTGACAGTAGAATTGGCTAAAATGTCTGCACAGCCGACAGATTATAGCCTCAAAAATGTAAGCAAGGACCCAAAATTCCACTGCTACAGTGCTACTCAAGCATTACCTCAAACGTCCCTCAGAAATCTACAGTGTTTTATACTGGTGAAAAACATAAGACAAAGATGTATTTATTGCCGCTAATGAATTTATTTCACTTCAAATCCTGGCATGTTGTGATTTTAATTTGAATCAGGGTGTGTTGCCAGACCTTTATGGTGGCGGACTTTTATATTTCTATTTTAAGTATGCTATACTGTTTTGTTTGTGTGCATTCTGTTAGTTAAGTTCGAGTGCTTCTGCAGTGTGATGTTATATACATTCAAACATTATGTTTCTCACATTGGAGTTGGGAATTTCTTGAAGATACCTTCGAGAAGGCAGACAGATAAAGTCCAATGCTATGAGCCTGCAACAATGAAATATCTGGGCTACTTCCCTGCATTGAAACCTGATGAGGTTAGTTCTTTTGCTGGATAGTGTTGCTCATATAGATTTTAACATGCAATTCAGTCACCTCCTGGTTACATGTTTCTTTTACATTCTCGAACTGTTGGGTATAGATATGTATTCTATCAAAAAGTGTTAACTGAAACTGCTTGGCGAAATTAGTTCTGTTATTAGTATCCTACTTTGGCTGATATTAAGAAGTAAACTAACCAACTGTTTTTAGTTTTTAGTAAAATAAATTCCCAATCAAACTTGTAGTGTTTTACCTGAATACTCATAATTTGAACTTTACCATTGCCTGTTATCTTGAAGTTGTGCCGAAGGGCAAAGAAATTTAGCATGACGAGTGAAATACTGGATTCCGTTTGTTTTCGTTACATGCATAAAAAAACCTTAGCAAATACATTGTTAGCATAATGATTTTTTCCACTGGAAATGACAATGTCAAGAATTATGCTAGGTTAAGGAGCGTGTAGTACAGGCGAGGAAGGCTCAAAAGGTATGGGCAAAAACTAGCTTCAAACAAAGACGCCAATTTCTAAGGATACTATTGAAGTACATCGTTGAACATCAGAAGCTTATATGCGAGTAAGGATTCATTCCTGTCATTATCTATAGAGAATTAGAGAATGATAGAACATGACTGAAAAAAAATGTTTCCTGAAAAGTAAATTGAATTTACTTACAACTGTAAAACAAATTATCATGTATTAATATTTCTTGCATTAAAAGGCGAAAACAATATTTTGTTATTTCTGAAAATATTGTGATTAGTCAAATGTCGGCGGGCATGTTTCCTAAGTAAAGTACTACCTCCATTGAATATTAAAGGTGAAATATTGAGTCACAGCTTGGTAATGTTAAGGTAATTTATTTTGCGAACAATTTCCTGTAACTCGTTCAAGGTGACCACATCCGAAAAAATGACTAAGAAGTTCTGAAGCTGGAAGTGTAAGGCCTTAGTATGTCAAGTTTTTTCATAGCGTATGTGTGTCAGTACATTACTGAGATTAGTATGGGGGTGTGAGGTAAATTATTCCAGTCATATATATAAGTTGCATTTTAGTATCTTGATTCATGAAGGACATGATGCTGTGACCTTGTTTGGCCCAGAGCACGATACTTTTATCGTTCTATTTTCACCTGTTCTCTCATGATTTCAATTGTGTAATATAATTTTTTTTTCTTCTTATTTTCTGTTTCTATGTCAAATCGGATATAGTTTATCTCTTACTCATGTGCCACTTTAACTAGAGTTTCTTCACGTGATACTGGAAAGACCATGGTTGATGCTTCTTTGGGAGAAATTATGACAACATGTGAGAAAATCCATTGGCTTCTTTCAGAGGGTGAGAAGTGGCTAAAACCTGAATACAGGTATATATATTTTTCGTAACATGTCTTACTTTATTGGTCATAATATTTTAGCCAAACTCTTCTTTAACCACTGAGTAGTTCGTATATGAATAAAGCATCTAACTGCTTTATGATGATCTTGTTTTCTTGCTTGACGATGTAACGTCTCTGCAATTCACGATGCTTGCGGTACATTGGAAAATAAATTATTATGTATCCACTACATAATAACATTCTGTTAGTCCGGATTCAGATCTTACATGAGTGTAATTTGAGGTCCTAGACACTTAAGCTGCAGTCATGAATTAAAATCTCCTTTGCACAGGGTTGTAACTTAAGCTGCATGCTTATAACTCAGTTCCACCTTTTTTTAATCATCATACTCTCATATAATTGCCACATTGACCAAATTGCAGTTAAGCAAACACTCTTATGAATGATTTGACTTCTTGTTTGCATGTGTACTAAACGTTTAGCTAGAAACTACTTCTGGTTCCATGTTCACAAAACGTTTGCCTAGAAAGTATCAATTATATTGATCATTGTTACCTTATATGCAGGTCATGTGGAAGATCAATGATTCACAAGACAGCCAAAGTGGAATTTCACCCCCTTGGTGTTGTTGGGGCCATTGTTTCATGGAACTATCCATTTCACAACATATTTAATCCAATGTTGGCAGCAGTATTCTCAGGGAACAGCATTGTGATTAAGGTATGTAGCTTTCTGGAAGAAGAAATATTACCATATGGCATATTTCCATATCTCGAGTATATATTCATCTTCTGACTGTTATTTGCAATTTGACATGCATATATTAAGATACACACTTTTCTGTTAGAGCGCATTACCTTGATATCGCGCAGGAAACTACTATGTTTGTTAACTAGGTCACAATGTCAAATGGTAACATTTCTTTTATATAATTTGCTTCAGTGTTCCAAATAGATGGACTTTTCACTTTCCTGGATTTTGGGGTAACAGAGTTTAATTTAAAGGGGTTTGACTGAGATAATCATATTTGTGCGCAGTCCATTGAAGTTCAAATTCAGAAACGCCTCCTACAGTTCATGGGTTTTCTCTATAATATGTATTTTCATACTTAATTGAGTTGTTTAAATTCATATTGTGTACACCCTGTAATAGCTGCTGATTTTCTTGACGCCAAACGTTTAATCTAATGTTTTCTTAATTAGCTGCACAAAGTTTAATATAGGCAATATGAAATATCCTTATCTAAGGCTTTGTCGCACATAGCTACTGGCAAGATTGATGATATGAAATATTCTTATCTAACTTTTTTCATGAGGATCAGTGTTCTTTCTGCTGCAGGTTTCAGAAAACGCAAGTTGGTCAGGATGTTTCTATTTGCGTATAATTCAAGCTGCTCTTTCAGCTGTAGGAGCTCCAGAAAATCTGGTTGAAGTTATAACAGGGTACGCCTTGATGCCTTAGTTTCTACCACAAGCTTGTCTTGGTGAATTTTATATGGATTTCAATTTCCTGCCAGGTTTGCGGAGACAGGAGAGGCCTTAGTGTCTTCAGTTGACAAAATGATATTTGTCGGATCACCTGGTGTTGGCAAAATGGTCAGGGTTTTCACTTGAGCTATATTTAAAAAAAATAAAAAATGAAGGAAATGAACTCTATTCATCTAGACAGATAATCCTGCATAAAACTACTGGATGTAACTTTCTTTGGCACCACTGTCATTTGATATTGCAGATAATGAGGAAGGCTGCGGACACATTGATACCAGTTACTCTTGAGCTTGGCGGGAAAGATGCTTTTATTGTCTGTGAAGATATTGATGTGTCACATGTAAGAAAAAAAAGTTAGGGTTGGCCTAGATCAAAATGTTTAATGTTCACAATAATTTAAATTCCTTAAACATCTGTCGTAGTTTGCAGGTGTCTAATGAGTTAATCTTTCGTAGGTTGCTCAAATTGCTGCAAGGGGTGCTCTCCAGTCAAGTGGGCAGAATTGTGCTGGGGCAGAGAGGTTTTATGTTCACAAAGACATTTACTCCTCATTTGTTGCTGAAGTTGTCAGAATTGTGAAATCTGTTACTGCCGTAAGTTCTATATATTGTAAACAGAAACATATGATATCTTGGTCGTTGATGTTAACCTAGTTTTGAAACCAAATAGTACATATTTCTTGGGGCGGTATATGCAACTGAAGTGGTTATGCAAATATGCAATAAGATATACTGACATAGTTGGAATTATGAAAGAGTGGGTGATTACTTGACCTTGCGTTTTGGCTTTCCATCATTAAGGTGGAGAACCAAGATATTGGCTTTTGATTTCACTAATTAAAGTGATGAGACGTGTATTCCTAATGGACGAACATCTACAGGGTCCTCCGCTTGTTGGCAAATACGACATGGGAGCAATATGCATGCAGGAGCATTCTGAGAGGCTTCAGAGTCTGGTCAATGACGCACTTGACAAAGGAGCTGAAATTGTTGGTCGAGGTAGTGTTGGGAATATAGGTGAAGGGGCCGTTGATCAGTACTTCCCTCCTACTATAATTGTAAATGTCAACCACTCTATGAAACTGATGCAAGAGGAGGTATTTTACTATGTTACTATATTTTCATACTAGTTTAGTACTTGAACTTTATTGAATAGATGTCTGTTATTGCATTTTATAATCTTAATTCACATGCAGGCTTTTGGACCAATCATGCCAATAATGAAGTTTAGTACTGATGAAGAGGCGGTCACACTTGCAAATGACTCTAACTATGGGCTAGGATGTGCTGTGTTTTCTGGCAGCCAGCGACGGGCCAGAGAAATAGCTTCTCAGTTACACTGTGGAGTTGCTGCAATTAATGACTTTGCATCAAACTACATGTGTCAGGTAATAATCCAACACTGTTTATGTGATTACTTTTCCTTTATTTTCTTGTATTAGTAAATGACATCAATCACATTTTACTTTATTAAGCATAATTAATCTATATTTTAACTTAGGAATGAGGTATAAATAATAGGTATTACGAAAAAGTTACAAAACATAAAACATTAATGCTTTTAAAGGTAGGTAGGATCCCATGTATATTTTACTTGCTTGATTGATTGCACGTTATCTCTTAATGTGTTGCAGTCTCTTCCGTTTGGTGGGGTAAAGGATAGTGGGTTTGGAAGATTTGGTGGTGTGGAAGGATTACGAGCTTGCTGTCTTGTTAAATCTGTAGTGGAGGACAGATTTTGGCCACTCATCAAAACTAAGATACCAAAGCCTATTCAGGTTAGTTTCACATCCCCTGCTTATTGAAATTTTGATATATATATATATATATATATATATTATTTACATGTTGATGACATCATTCTCTGCCCCATATACACAGTATCCCATTTCGGAGAGTGGATTCGAGTTTCAGGAGTCACTTGTAGAAGCACTGTATGGATTAAATGTGTTGGACCGTTTACGGGCATTGGTGGATGTTCTGAAAACCCTTTCAGAACCAAACACTTCCAAGAACAGTAAGAGAACGGACTAATAATTTGAAATTTGGCTGCGCGTGAAAATGAAGAGGTATCTCCGGTAAGCTTTACAGTTCTTGGAAAGCTATTTTATCCAGTGCATTTCTTGTAATGTCATTCTCTCTTAATGTGAAACCGAACTTGGTGTCTAGTCCGTACGTAAATTCAGGCACAAATTAAAAATGCTTTCTGAAGTCCGTGTACTAGTTCTGATGAAATGGTTCATAGTGCAATTCTTGATCTAGATGTTTTAAATATCGTCGTTGTGAGCTAATTTTCCATTAACTAATAATAGTAGAATAATAATTAATAAATAATAATTAATAAATAATAATTATAATATTAATAATAATAATAATAATAATAATAATCAAAATAATCAGTCATAATAATAATAATATAAGTATACAAATAGAGAAATGAGGATATTAGGAAAAAAAATACATTTATTCACACTTGATTGCGCGTGTGACTTCCCAGTCAGCCCTGTCACGATCTTGCTCAAGAAAACTTCCACTGTCATCCCTCGAGTTAACGATTGATACAGTAAACTTTTCACGCTCAAGTGAAGATGGATACATTATTTGTTCATCCTGAATATTTCAGACAAACCAATAATTAGAGATATAACGAGTCAACATATGAAATAATTAAACAATAACTCCATTGCAATGAGATTTATCATAAATTAGTTCTAAGAATATTTTCTAATTTGTTTGTATCTTGAAGTACTTCCATATTTTAATTTACCAGAATTTTGCTTCTGTTTAATCTAAATTGAAAAAAATAAATTAGACATAGCTAACGAATTTATATTTCTTTAATTTTTTTCAATATTACATGACCACTTTCACGTCTCCACTTTTTAATAATACATATATTTCGCTTCCCATCATAACTTGTTTTAGTATAATTAGAGTTAATTGTCAAAAAACCATATGTTCAATTGCTAAAAAACTCTTCGACTTACTAATATTAGCAAAAAATTCCATAAGATGCAGTTTTTTTTAACAACTCCCTAAAAACATGAATTGAGGGGTTTTTTTGCTAATAAAAATAGTATGGGGAGTTTTTATTAATTATAGTGGAAAAATATTGTAATATTTCATAGAGGTTGTTGACTTGTGCTTACCTCGGATAGCCCACAGAATTCATCGGGAGATATCTGCAGTAACTCGGCAGCAGTCTGACCAATACACCAAGCAAAAATCTTTGACGTATCATCTGCAAGAGTAATTTTTAAATGAAAGGTAAGTTCTACTTCAGCATTGCAAATACTTTGGCAGAATTTGCACTCGAGATCTCCATTCGGTCCTTGTTCAACACGATGCCCACAAAGGGTGTGCATATATCTTGTATTTACATGACAATGTTCAACCTGATCCAGCCACACTCGACATACCTGAAATATTATTGGGTGAATTGTCGTGTAAGAAACTACATTGTGAATCAAGTTCATGCATTATTACTTGAGCTTCAACCATTGAAAATTAGCCTGCCTAAATTAAGTAGCAGTAAGAAATGAATTTAATTTCTTGATTTAGAGATTTAATTAGAAATGTATAAAAAGCTCAATGTTGAAGTCAGGATAAAAACAATCATAGGAATTCTCAACATTTTTCGAGTTTTCAACATGCAAACACATGTATCTCACAACCTCCTTCAAAACACCTCCCCCTTCATTTGAAAATGAGGGACCGTAAAAGGGAACAGAAAAGAAGAGAAGGAAGATTGTGCAAAAGGTTAAACAAGTTTACTGGGAATAAGACTATTGTGAAATGCAAGTGACTGAAACGAAACATACTTGTGCACCGCTAGTATGGATGGATAGATCATTAAGGCACAACAATCTGTGAAGACAAGATGTATTGGGGAAAGCTGGCAAGCAACTCAAATTGAAGAATGATGATCCAGTGGCATTCTCATACCATGATAATTGAAGGCTGCAATAAATATAACAAAAAGAAATAAATAAACGATGAAACTAAAAATAAGAAAGTTATTAAAAAATAATAATAATAATAATATATGAGCCTCAAAACATGTCTCATATAAATGCTTAGTACACCTGAGAACTAGTTTGGATGACTCGGATGACGTTTATATGTGGTTACCTTTCTTGGGGAGTCAGAGAAGAACTTAAACCAGATATGTAGACAGTATGCGCGATTGCTAATCTTCCCAGTGACCTAAAATAAAATTGAAGTGTAAAGTAGGTCAGAAAATTAAAAATGCTACGTATTTTTTTTTTAAAGGAAAAATAGAGAAAGAAAAGCTTAACAAATTTTCATCCCTTGTATAATAAATTAAATTGCATGCAAGTCCAGAAGAAAAGATTGAAAAGATTGCACTCATATTTTCTTATAATAGTATAAGAGGCTTAAGTATATCTATCTTGTGTAGTGAATTGCCATATGTTTACCATGATTTAACGAAATGTAACTTTGCCCATATTGCTCCAGTTGTATCTTCGATCTTCAAAGAAAATATGCCCTCTGATACTCTTATGTCTGTAACTACACCGTAGAGACTAATGCCAGTCATCTTGTTACGTAGATCAACAACATACGACTACAAGACTTAAAATATGGAAAAGGTTAATAAATATTTTTTTATAATAAGCATGATGTGCTAGTCTATGTTGAAAAATCTCGATTCATTAACAATAAGGAACAGGTAAAATGAACTAAGTTTATTTAGGAAGTTAATACTTAATTCTGCATGAACGATGAATTTTGTTAATCGTGATCCGATGATTGCTAACCGGTTATGTAGCTTTTATCAGATGGAGAAAAATCTTACTCGAAATGGGTAATTTCTGAAGTCAATAGACCCTTGAGAATCACAAGGTAATGTCACTTGAGAAACGATTGGTCCCTCACTCGGATTCAAGGCAGTCAACAGCCTCGAACCTTGATAATGGTTCTGTGTCAGTGCTACGCTTACCTAACAAACATGTGATGCATATTATACATACACTCTTAAGAAATAATCTTAGTATAAAGTCATAAACAATTTTTTAATCTTACTTGTTCTTCATGAAGAATAAGAGGCACCAAATACAACTGGGTTGCACTACCGTATTCCAGGCAAACTTCATCGCATATTTCAAGAGAATTATCTACAACACTTGCAATAAATGGCCGATCAAGGGCAAGCATGCTTCCAACACTGTATGACGTGAAAGAAAACATGCACACATGGCAATGAGGAAACAGAAAAAGAAAAGGTATAAAGTAACAAGGACCAACTTGCCAGCAATCGTACCTGAATAGATTGGCAATTAGTGCTTGCTCTCCCCAGAGGAAAAAAATTAATCTTATACCATCGTTATCAACTAGAGTAATTTGTTTCCTCTCCAAACTGCCAGATTTACCATGAACTTCCAGTGGTCCTATATTTTCAATTCTGTCCACAATTAACAAGAGGCTTTCATGTACAGTGAACATAACATCATAAAGCACAAGTGTCAAGTTAATTGGTGATTAGGAATATGGTCATTATCATTTATTCATCATCCTTTAAAGTTAAGAACCGTTATTGACATACTAAAACATTTGAAGGAAAGCCTTTTAAAATGAGAAAAATAATACTAAATTATAGTTCAGAAGACTTTTTTCACTACACATATCTGGGTTCACAGATTATCTAATAACAGAGGAAAAAACATATGGGATTTGTTCAGATTTAATCCTATAGAAACACGTGAATTGAATCAAATTATACCTTGCATACAATGAATAGGACGTCCCTTCCTTTACTGAATCAAGAGAAATTGAAGAAAATGAATCAGAACAAAACTGTGCTCCAATAAGCATGGCGTCGTCATCTTCATCCTGTATATATATATACAGAATCTGGTGAGCTATTCGCATTAGGGAATTGTTAATTGTAATGCTAACAGTGACATGCATGGAACTAGACATTCACTACTCAAAAAAATGCAATATGGTACGTATTAGGTTCTTCAAAGCCGATATTGAGCCTTATAGATTTTATTGTTACTCCTGACCAAATAAACTTTGTCAAGGATCATGAGATTGACAATAACTTAGTTATTAGAACTTCAGAGATATACAATGGGAAATATCATTTTGCTAAACTGGCACTCCAGAACTCAGTGGGGGTTAGCCAAGTTAAACATTGACAAGAAAGGAAGAATGTAGAGCAAAAAGCTACCTCATCCAACAGTACAACAAAATATTCAGTTGGTAAAAGACGTGCGCACACTGAATTCCCAGTGGCAACCCGAAGATAGCACCCAGTTAAGAGAACTTCACGGCCTTTCTTCAGAATCCCGTTATCAGGATCGGCAATGCTGTAAAACCTGCCTTAAAAGGCAAGTGAGTTCATTCACATAGCGTCAGTTCATGCAAATACTAGTAACATCAAATATTTGGAATAAATAACATTGGGTTGTATTGCTTCTACATCTAATACATCTATTTTTCTTCTCTTCCATCCTGGATTTTTGCTATGCAGTGATGAAATCCCATAGTTTTTTCAAATCCCAGTTTATCCAGTCCATCAACTTTAAGGTTCTAGATTAATAAATGATCAATAAATTAAGCAAGCATCTAAATCAGCGAACCAAGCTAAACAAAATTAGGCATTCATAAAGAGTATTAAATTGATTCATCGCTTCTAGAGGCAACTATGGAAAGCAAGCAATAAGGTATATATATATATATATATATATCTTTAAGGTGATAAATAAAATCAAATGCATCACATGTGATGAGTATAATTAAGTACTAGAAGGTTTAAGGAACAGCATCTTGAAGAATATCACGAAAATCAATTTCTTAAAATTGTGAATTCAGATTGGAATCACTATAGAAAGATAGGATTAGTTAGATGAATTTTCTCTTTACCTCCTGTGAAGATAAAGATCCAAAGTGTTGGAGCTCCAAATATCCCCCAAAGTGAGCATGTAGATGTTTGTTCCTGTAAAATTTATCATATCAATGATGTTAATCAAACTGAAGCAACCAAGATTTCTCGACATAATTAAAATGGAAAAATAGTCAAAAACCAGAGGCCACTTAAGCATATAATGGTCATCTAAGCTAGTGAATGCAATCTAGTACACGTATTCATAAAATAAAGTTGTATTACTTTCTCTTTTGTGTATAACAGAAACAAACAAGTTGTTCCAGTCAAATTATGTTAACTCTAAATAGACGAGAATGTGTCATACCTGGAAGAATAAATGCATCGATTATAACTGCTTCAATTACACTGCTCAATGATAAAAACTTTTTCTCGAATACTGAATCAATTGTAACCGTGTTTGGGAGCTTTGCTCTCTTGTGCTTCTTCTTTAACTTCGTGATAACATCTGATTGCTTTTTTGGAGCTCCACTCCTAATGTGCTCATTCCAAGCCTGGTTGACATGTATCGGCACATAAGTATCGTATCTCCACACAAAAAAGATAGATTATGTCTGTGTCTAGTTGGGTAATTGACACGTGATTTTACAGACAACAGTCTCAAAATTATCTCCATATTCAATGAAGGCTAGTACACGAGAATCAATGAAGGTGTAATTGATTCAGCTAAGAGAATCCCTCAGTTTAAAAAGTAAACTCTTCAAAGTGGCATCAGAAAACCGAAAAACTAAAAGATCACGACAAGGACAGTTCAACAGAAATACATCATCAATCTTCTATTGTATTTTCAACAAAATTGTGAACAGACAAACAGAAACATAAGTAACTATATACTAAAGCAGATCCGGATACAGCTCCAGTGTAACCGAGTTTCTGACATGAAGAAATGCACATAGGTTAAGTAGTTACTTCCTAACATGAAAAATACATAAAAATCCATGGAAATCAAATTATCTTAGTCAAAGTTTAAGGGAAAAAAACTAGATGATATGTTTTTAGGTAGCACTATAGCAGAAATGCGTCAATCTTCTAGTACATTCTCAACTCAAATTAGGATAGATCTGCAGTTGTGATGAGCAAAATCACCAAAACCTAATAAATTAGATTATAACTTTTTAGGTAGCACTACAGCAGAAATACATCAATCTTCGAGCAAATCCTCACTCAAATTTGGAGAGATATGCAGTTGTGATAAGCAAAATCACCAAAATCAGATTCAGATACAGCTCTAGCGTTAAAATACCTAATTAACAAGGAGATTCTAATATAGAGAAAATGTAGATCGAATAATTAGTTACTTCCTAAATAAAACTCCATACAAATCAAATTCTCTTCATCAAAATTAAAAAAATCTTCAGACGAACTGTAAAACGCAAATACCTGAGAAAGCTCGGAAAGGAGAATAGCAGGGGTCACACCACTCGGGTAAGAGACGCAGGTTTTGAGAATCCGATTCGTGATCCAGCTCCAGCCAGGCGAGCGCGCCGAATCTTCTTCGAGCTCACCTTCATTCTGGTGCAGAATCGATTTTGCGTAGTCGATGAATTTGAGAAATGGATCGTTTTCCTCCTCGTCTTCAGCAGCAATATTCGACTGATCGATCTCCATCAACGTTGTCTCGTTGTCTGTCATGAAGTCGCCGAGCACCTTATCATTCGGTGAGTCCATTATTAGCATAAACTAGAGAGAGAAAGGAGTTCTGAAACCCTAGTTGTAAACACGCGGGAAACTAGTATTTTTTTTGCTGCTTCAACAAATGAATTTGGAGAAAAATGAAAGATTTCGGCTGAGCTGAATTCGGGCCCAAATTAATGTAATGGGCTGTTCGGGTTGGGCCTTATTAGGTCCGTCAGATGTTCAGAAATAAATCTGTTGACTTTTAATAATAAATAAATTAAATAAAAACAATTGTTTAATAACGGAAAATATTAAATTGCTATAAATTTGATAGAGAATTTGATGCCTTTTGAATTGTTTACAGAAGACAAGTATATGACAAATATACAACTTTGGCTATGAACAAAAGCTATGAAGCAGTCACATTTGGTGCTGACGTGGCATTCCTGTTCTCCGGGGATCTCCATATATTTGAAGCAGGCCTATTAATACTACTCTTCGAAGATGCCATTCGAGACGGTTCCAATTGAACTTCGAGTTTCGAAGGGTCCAACGCAAGTTTTTCTCGTATAAACTTATCTAAATTGAAATCACTAGAGAATTTTCCCAACTGCTCGTCTTCACCGGAATCTTTATTTTCCGATGAAACGTTAACTTTCTCAAAGTTTAGAAGCCTCTTTATGCTGTCTATTGCAGGATCGATAATGTCCAAGAATCCCATTATCCACGATGCATCGTCCACTATTTCAGTACGCTATCGAAAATAAATAAATAAATAAATTAGTTTTTTTCGTTAATTTCATTGGTAATGTTAATGTATGAATATGTACCTGCTGGAAGTAGAGTTCTCGGATTTCTTCGGCGCGTACGGAATTTCCTTGATCTTCTTCCAAAGAAGCCCAAGTCATCCATGTTACGTAGCTTTGAGAATTTATATTAAGCGACGATCGGAATAATCGTCTAGCTGCTGATAGATTCCCTACTCGTTGTTCTAAAACGCCCCAAGCCTAAAAAAATTGAGCAATATATTTAATAATTTATCAGTGTTTGTTTCAATCAAAAAATTAAATAAATATTTAAATTGTGGAGATAATTATATTTATGAATTAATACCTGAAGACAACGAGCAGCGCTTTCGGTGGATGAATCTATCGAGAGCGCCTTTTGGTATAAATCTCTAGCTGTAGCCAAGTTTCCTTCTTTCCATTCCATCCATCCCCAAGCCTATAAATACAAGGCGAATAAATAAATAGTACGTTAATTGCTCGTTAAATAGTATGTTATCATGAACCGTAGTTAAAAATGACACACTTAAAAGCTTACGATCCAAACTGGTTGATGCCTCGGATCGAGTTCAGATGCTCTTCGAAAGATCAGTCGAGCTAAATTAGCCGTAGAGTATCTGTATTCCAATAATGCGAGTGACTGAAGAAGAACCGGGTCCCTCGGATTCACCGCGTGGCCCACCTTCAGAAGCTTCCGCGCTAAATCGACGTTTCCTAAATTAGCTTCAAACACTCCCCAAACATGCCATGCAAACCTATTCTTAGGACTTGCCTGAACTGCTTTCTGTTTCAACACAAGAACCGTGTTATACATTAATCACAAAACGTAACATTAATATCTTAAGGCCTCGTTTGGTTGGTATGATTTTAGACATGATTGATTAAATAGTTGGACCTTACTGAATGTTTGGTCTCGGTTAGTCCAATAATCCGCAATTGTGGACAAAATGGAGGTAAAATCGACTAATTGGGAGATTAATACGTACAATTGGGTTCTCAGGCCTTGTTTGGTTCGTATAACATAAGATTAATGTGAAGTTTAATAAATAATCTTCCAATTAACAAGATTAGAGTCATTTCTTCCACAATTGCGTGTCGACCAGAAAAGTTATTGGACTAATTACATATCCAATCAATCATGACTAATCCTACAAACCAAACGAGGCCTAATTAATATTTAACTTACGCAATGCAATAAAAAAATTGAAGTCAATAAAGGAAAGGAACGGACCTCGAAAAGACTTCTAGCAACGCGGTTATTCGCTTGCTGCACCTCAAGTTGAGCCCACGCCTTAAAAAAAAAACGAAAACATTATAATTTTAACTTATCCCTATTTTTATTTTATTTTTGATGAAATAAATTCATCATTGATACATGGAAAAATCCGAAACTTACGAGCCAACTAGCACAACTTTTCGGATTGCATTTCGTCGCTTGCTTGAACAAATACCGAGCTTGCTCGTACCGCTTCGCTCTAACTTCGAGTAGTGCGAGCGTTTGGTATATATATTCATTCCCACCGCAAAATTTGATACCCTTACCGAGAAGATTCCTTGCTTTGAGAATATTCCCCTGTTTCATTTCCAAAACTGCCCATCCATGCCAAGCTGCAATGTGCCTTTTATCAGCAACCGTTGCCGCATCGAATAACTCCCGAGCTCTCCTCGTATTTCCCATCTTATTTTCCAGCACTGCCCAACACTATGTCACAAAACGAAATAATTCAACATCAATTATAAAATTCGATATATGTAGAACTTATTATTATTATTACCTGCCAAATGTACGAGTTTTCGCCTTGTGTAGCTTGGCATCCCTTTTCGTATACAGATCTCGCTTCGTTGTTTCTCGATTGTTTACTCAAAGCCTTCCCTAAGGCAACATAGGGTCTCCCATCTTCTGGCCAATAGCTTATACACTTCATAAACATCACAAAATAAACCTTCATTAACACAAATTGCTAAAAAAAATTGAAAAATAATATAATTATATATACAGAACCTCGATAAATTACTAACCTCGATTAAATAATAGTTTCTAGGGTCTCCCATCTTCTGGCCAATAGCTTATACACTTCAAAAACATCACAAAATAAACCTTCATTAACACAAATTACTAAAAAAAAATTGAAAAATAATATATATATATACAGACACCACATATATATACAGTAGAACCTCGATAAATTAATAACCTCGATTAAATAATAGATTCTCTCGGTTCGACTCGGTGAAAACGTGGTAAATTATTAACTCGATAATTTAATAATTCGCTAAATTAATAGAATTTCCCTAGTCCAGACTGTATTAATTTATAGAGGTTTAACAGTATATGTATCTACCTTGATAAGTATCTCCTCAGCTTCTTGGTACCGATAATTACGCGCCAAAATCTTCGCTTTATACAGAGCCAAATCCAAATTGACCAAAAGGGGTTTCTCCCCGGAACTCGATTCGACAATCTTAGGCTCGAAAATCGGCATCTTCTTTGCGAATCTCGATAGGCCTTCGTCTATACCCGAAGAAGCATTTCTATTATTATATGCAGCTGTGTTTTTAACTTCTTCGTCGGGAAACTCCATAGTAGGCCTGCGAACAACTAGAAGCTCTTCTAATGATTTTTTGGCGTTCGTTATCTCCTCGTCGAAACTGTATTCTTCTTCCATTTCGGTAGCTTCGGATTTTGTGGGAGCAGATTTTTGAGGGGTTTGTTGGAGAATCGGAGGTGATGACGTGTCATGGGAGTGTGTGGGAAGTGATTTACTACTGTGTGAATTGGTTTTCAATGGTGCGATGAAATGAAATTTTGTAATGGAATTTTGAGGAGGCGGAGAGAAGAGAGCGAATTTTGAGTTTGATGGAGAAGAAGAGAAGATCTTCATTTTTTGCTGCTTCTTCTTCTTCTTCTTTCTTTCTCTCTCTACTCTGTTTTGAACAGATAAAACTGTAACAAGCTTTTTTACATGGGGGAGGGTGTTGTGGTGAATGACTAAAATATCCTTGAATGTTTAAATGTGGAGATGTTTGTTTGCTTTAGGAGTAAAGGGTGATAAAGGTAATTTTAACAGAGAGAAGCTGCTGGTCAGAAATCCTCCAAGTCATCCAGCATTTTATGGCTGATGCTTCTATCAGAAAAGTAGATTTTTTCCTGCCACGTGTGAGGAATTTATTGGATGTTGTAGATATTATGTAGTGATCCCATGCTGTTGTTTCAGCTTTTTTTAATTATTTATTATAAATATTTACGGTGTGTCAATAGCAAAGTCACACGTTATGGCGGCGTTAAATACCAAATAACAGAAATTCAAACTTTAATCCAAATAAGATTACTGTTAACTGTATTTAAACTAATTTTACATTGAAAAGGAAATCATGCAAAATATTAATACACACATCATACTAATTTTAGCATCGTAGATTTTGTGACCGTAAAATCATGCAATACAGCTAAACATTAAATTAATACAGTCGGGACTATCAAAATTCTATTAATTTAGCGAAATATTAAATTATCGAACTAATAATTTAATCTGTTTTCAACTGAGTCGGGACCGGAAGAAAATTATTATTTAAGCGAGGTTATTAATTTATTGAGATTCTAATGTATGTTTTTCATGCTCTCCTATCATACATACACAGATCATACGAGTATGTCTAAATGAAGAGTAAATCTTGAACCAGTATATTTTCCACTAGGTGTATTACATATGAACTCACCTAAACAAATCAAACATGCAGCAGAAGCCCTGTCCGGAAACGACTCCTGCACCAGTACTCGTAATCGAGGAAGTTTTGCCTCTGTAATAACTCTTGCAGGATAGAGAAGCAAAATCAAATAAACGACAATTAAACCGAACTGAATTACCACTTCATTCAAACAAATTACAGATAATCTGTCCCAAAAAAAACATATTAAAATAGCAATCTAAAGAAGGCACATTAGAGTTCAATTTACACCTGGGTTATTACATATGTCGATTTAAGAAAATGGTAATAATATCTATATCTTCCACTCCAGTAAAGATATATATCCTACATTGCCTTCACGTTTATACGTTCAGTTATAACTTATAAGTTCCCGATGCAAAAAATACAACAGCAGCAAAAGAACTTATCTATATATTCAAAACCACCTCCTTTTTCTTGCTGGTCTTTCTAGCTTACCCTCAAAAGCCGTTTCAGAAGCCAAATTCGAGCTCTTCGCAGAATCCCTGCTCAAAGTAATTTGTTCCTTAAAGCGCTCTCTTCGTCTTTCCATCTTTGCCATAATCTCCTGAATTTTCTCATCGCCAAGACTCTCAACCACGGCAGCAGTACCATTCGAAGCAGATTTTACTGTGTGGCCGTTACTTTCTTCACCAATTATCTGGCCTTCCTCAACATCCAAACATTCATTCTTCGGGTTTTCGGAGAACTTGTCCTGCCAATTTTTGTCACTAAGGTTAGTAGTTTTTACCTTTCTTTCATCGGTTGAAATAGAAGCAGCCTTCTCTAGCTTAAAGTCACCCAAGTCTTCAAGATTTCCGGGATTCTGATTGGCGTTCGATTCAGTGAGATCATTTTTATGACAATTAAAATCATCTCCATCTTCAGAGGCTCTTCTAGATGACTGCGGGGTGGTACGCTGTCACAAGTGGACATTAAAATCAAATGTTCTACACACTATATGAAGAATGATTACAAAATAAGATAGGCAGACAGAACAAGATGTCAGTGCATAGATTACAAACTGCAGTAGATACATCGAAGGAGCTGTGGAGATTTTTAAAACCAAATTACTCGCAGTATCTCGTCTACAATAGGAGAAAAAACCAGGATGGTTTCCATGCTTTTTAATTGATATGTAAAGAAATGCGTAGAAGTATCTTAACTTCAACAAAGACGATGAGGGCCATCTCAGAATAAATTCAAATAAAATAAATTGTTAGTTGATGAGTGCAACGAAGATCTGGAACACAATAACTACAAAATCATTAGAGGGCTTTATTACTGGCATAATATTGTTTTTTACGCACATCACCATGGGCCTTCGTTGTAGGTTCAAGGGTGCTATCACCAAAATAAAACTTGCAAATGATGAAGCACAGATTTTTTTCAAAATGAATAGGAAGATGAGACCAAACACATGCAGAGATTAAGGAAATAAACTGCGCGAGTTGACATCATTGTATTAAAAATAAGGCCGCCCAGCATAGGGAACTTGCATATATTTAATAAAATAATACAGGGTATTGACCTCAATATTATCAATTTTACCTTTTTGTCCACAACAACCAAACGAGAGTCAACTGAATATTGATACTTTCGGTGCATCTGGACACATTTATCAGCTTCGATAAATTTAAGACATCCATCAAACTGATTCCTACTATCTCCTTCTCTTATATTATTAAATCTCTGTCTGCTACCAACTTCTCTTTCACCAATAACCTCTGCCACACGACCAAATGCATGTCTATCACCAAGTCTGTCATTCTTTGATTTTTTTGGATAATGATATGATGGTCTCTCCGAGTGGAAGATAGTATTATCCTGCTGCCAGGACTTATACACCTCTTCCCTTGAATGCAGTGCCTCGGTTTGGTGCCTTCTTCTAACAAAGTGGTCTTTGATACTTTCATTAGTGATGTACGTGTCGGTAGATTGCAGGTAGTGTTTGTTTCTGACATGTTGATTCTCCGCAAGATGAGAATAAAAAGGAAGATGCCGTTGTTTAACGCATCTCCTGCCATTATCTTCACCCTCCTTATACCATAAGTTATCCGAACTAATATGAGGGTTGTCTCTTCTTCGGTTGCCACTTACAGAGCGCTCCGTTTCTCTTCTTTGACGGTCTATGTTTTGACCATATCTATGATCAGGGTAATCTCTAATAAATCTTCTAGATTTTTCTTTTGCGTCGTTGTTATAATCACGTAGTGGTGACAAATAGTGTCGTTTTGTTCTCCTGAAATGCACTTCATCCCCCTTGTTCCTGAATTGAGTATCGCTCATATTAACTGCAGAGGAGTGGTAGTTTGGTAAAAACTTCCTCGACACTTCCATATTGCTATGGACAACATGCCTCCTTTGCTTGTGATACCAATTATTATCTTCTGTAGCTTCATAATCCATCTTACTACTTCTTTTCTCAATATAATCTTGTTTATCCCTCATGTAGTGACCATCATGCTTGTATCTGTAGCTTGGACGAATGTTCCAATTTTGGTTTTCCAAGTACGGCGGCCCCGAGTGATAATCAGGGAGAGTTCCACCAAATTGGGTAGAAAAACTTTCTGATCGGTTGTAGTAAGGCATATCCTTCCGTTTAGAGTTGAAACTCAGCACCTCCCTCCTTCTCCCATGGCTAATATGTCTGTTACGCTCGACATAATTGGCATAAGAACAATCCTCGTCAGTCAGATGGCTCTTCAAATCAGGCATATCACTATATTCCTTGCGGTTATTCAATTCTTTTCTGACAGGACTCCTTTGTCGCTGACGATATCTACCATCTTCAATACATGATTTAAGAGTATGGCTTCTATAGTTGTTCGAGGGGTGGTAGTCACGAGTGTTTTTTGAATGCTTATGGTCCTTTTCATTATCATCGTTGCTAAGTGCAGCACTAACACTGGAAGGAGAAGAGGAACCTGGGCTATGGTGACTCCATCCACTTTGAGATGATTCCAATTCCGCTAACAATGGTGCTTCGTCGGAGCTGCTACTAGCATTTCTTCTATTTGCGATATCAGCTTTTTCAAGCATTCCATCTGAATCACAATCAGACACTTCATGGTGGTTATCTCCCTCCGAGTCAGATACCTGCAAACTTCCATGCTTATCTGAATCCGAAGGCATGGAATCCCATGCATGTGTATGCTTCGAACCCCTGATAATAGCCAATCGGGGAATGGAAGTTTAATTAACAAATGAAATGGTGTACAAGATAAATGTATCAAAGCAAGAATACCAAACATAGCTCCTTCACCTCTCGCACCGAACTATAAAGCATAACCCTATTCACTCCTTTTAATATTTCAATCTTGAAACCATTCTTTTTTTCATTTTTCCCCGTTTCTACAGTTTCACCACACTTGGACTACGGTGATGTGGTACTAAGAAAACCAGATAAAGACAACTGAAATACGGATGTGATATTGTCTTGATTGAAGAGGTGGCATAGGTTAATACAAAAATTGCCTAGTAGCATCTTTATCCAAAAAGTCAAAAACACAAATGGTATGAAATGCAAGGTAATTAGTAAAAGAAATATTAAGTGATCTAAGAGAAACACCTTGCAGAAGCAACTTTGTCTCCACCATTGTTTCTTCCAAAGTCAGATATGTAATCTTCACTAGCTCTGCTGAAACGGATATCTCTGCCATCGTCCACATCAGCATCGGCACTCTTCCCTGGTTTGTGCACTTGGTGAGCCACGTCATCAACTTTCCTCTTCTTACAGATCAAGGAATCATATTTCAGATTCTAGGATGCAATTCATGCAATTGAACCAAAAAAGGATGACTAATAAACAAATAATATCAATCAAAACCATAGAAGAAGATAAAAATAAAATCAAACAAATAACAGAACTATATGGACAACACCTTTCTCAGAGAAATGCAGTCACTATCATCAGACTTTTGCTTATTTCCATCCAAGGGTAATTCTGTCAAACCACCACACACCTCACCGACAGTGGCACGGTCGTAAATTACGCCATTTCCCCCAGTTATTTCAGCTCCGCTGAAGCTGTAGCCCTTCCCATTCTCTCCTCCGGTGGCATCGTCGAAAATAGTTACATCCGGCGGGGGCATTTTCGTCAGACCATTGAAAGCTCTGATTGCGGAGCTCGCCTGAACCTCGACGTCAGCATACAGGTCGCTGAAGTCATCGTCGTCGAATGCTTCCATTTCCATAATGAAAATGGAGGAGAGAGAGTGAACTACCAAGTATGTGAAAGGGGTTTAGATAAACCCTAACAATTAAAAAAAGGTTAAAAAATCCTAAAACCCTAGCTCAGTTGTTTTTAGCTGACGCATTTTGCTGATTAGAGAGATAAGGTGAAACGCAGCTTTATCGCTACGTTTTATATACCTGTGGCTGTGGGCTTATATACTCTTTGTAAAAATAATAAATAAATGGGTAAATTACAAACACCCCCTGAGGTATGGTCAATTACAAAACCCCCTCTTGTTTGGATAATTACATCTATTCAACTATGATTTTTTCTTACACCTCCACCCTTATGGTGCCAAACTCAACATAATCATCTAGATTCCGTGAAATTTGCTCTAGTTTGTACTCGTTTTGTGTAAAAATACAGTTTCCGATGCACCAAAAACTGATATCTACAAGCTAAAAATCACATATTATGATCATCTTGCTTCATAATGTAGAGTTTGAATGAGATAAAATGGGTACAAAAGTGATAATATTCCATATAATCTCAAAGATTTCACTAAATTTGAGGAGTTGAGGGGTGTTTGTAATTTACCCTGAATAAATAAATCCTATAAAAATGTGATGCCTAACAGTAAATTGGCCCAATATAACGGGTTTGTAACCAAGCCCACTATATAACCCCATTTGCCTATTTCGCGCAAAATTCAGTAGAAAAATTGGGCACTGAACGGAAAATCCGAGGCTCCGATCGTTTAGCTAAGCAAAATTGGCGGCAGAATGGCAGAGTACGAGCGGCGGAGAGAGGAAAACATAAAGCGGAACGCCGAAAAGCTGGCGGCGCTCAACATTCACTCGAAGCTCAGCGAGCTTTCCACCGTCGCCGCCTCCAAGTTCCCCATGTAATCTTCTTCCACCATACTTCAATTTTGCTGAATTGTTACGTTTCAATTTTTTATATTTTTTTCCTCTTTTTCCATTTTCTATTAGAAGCAAAGCCTAGGGTTCGATGTCACCTTTTTTGGTGAAAATTGGGGGTTGTTGCTGTATGATTGAGTTGGAAAATAGAAATGCATATGACCTATTTGAGGAATTGTCCGACAAACACATTTATGTGTTTCGGAACATATTGCTTTGTTGAGAATTTGCCTATTCGTATATGCTGTTAAGAATGATTTGAGTGAATATTAATGATGTTTTCGATTACTGTAATTTGGCAGGGCTGGGAGTAAATCTTCCAAAGGGGGTCCAGTAAAGAAGCCTAGCACCGAACCAGTTGTTCTACGTCAGTCGCTCAGGAGTCGTAAATTGCCACCGGATGATGTCGAACCTGTGCAAAGGAAACCCCCTACTGTGGGGATGGGACCCCTCGAAATGAGAGATGCATACGTCTCTGATAATGGGTCGGACGAGAAATTCAGACAAACTATTCTGCAATGTTGTAAAGAGTTCTTGTCGGGCGAGACCGATAGGGCTCCTTGTGCTTCAGGTTCAGTTGATGCGGGGAAATTGGAATTGAAATCCAAGAACATAGCGCGGTTAGGAAAATTCAAAATTACGAGCATGGTGTTTTTCCCTACTGCGGATATGCAAATGGTGGTCGCTGGTAATAAATCTGGAGAGGTCTGCTTTTGGAAGTTTAATGGCGACGAAGAAGAAGGTGGCGAGTTTTATATGTACCAGCCACATTTAATGCAGATCCGTGCGATTGCGATAGCCCCATTTTCCATATCACAGGTATTTTTTATCTGGAGAATTGGAATTGGTTATTCATTGTGTGTGTTATCTTTAATGAATAATATACGAGCATGGCTGGTTATGTAGTCTATGAACAAAAGGTGTGCTATATAGCTGGGCTGGTTATGATGGGGTGAGTTGTATGGAATTAGTTCTTTGAATGATAAAGCTACAAGCATATGCAAACTTAATGCTTCGAGTTCGTTACAGCTCTAGATGTAATTCAAAACAGTTCAAGATTGCATATGTTTTAGCATATTCCGGGGTTCACGTGACTGAGAGTCATGCATGAGAAATTAGGTAAATCTTCATGATGCCTATTGTCTAATATTATTAGGCATTTTCTCTGTTTTTAACTTGCAAGAAGTGAAACAAATTGAGGTATTTATTTTCTGCATGGAATATCAATTTGCTTCATGCTGGATACTCTTATCCTTTTTCGGTATTCTTGGATATTGCCTATGTATATCAATTTTCTATTATAATTTACATTGTTCGTACTATTTGTTTGCAGATGTACAGTTGCGACGAGGGATATATCAGGTTGATGGATGTCGAGAAGGAGGTATTTGATATGGTGTACTCCAGCGACTTCGATATACACTCCATGTCTTTGAGTCCACATGGCATAAAATCCCTATATTTCAGCGAGGGTTTCGGTCCAGTAGGAGGAGTCAAAATGTGGGATGTGAGAACACGAAGATCTATTTTATCATGGGAGTTACATGTAGACAAAGTCAACACCATTGACTTCAACTCGGAAGATGAGAATATCATGGCTACAAGTTCCTCTGATGGCACTGCTTGTATATGGGATCTGAGGCACATGACTGGAGGCAAACCAACACCACCGTTGAAGACTGTTCGTCATATAGGCTCTGTCGAGTCTGCTTACTTTTCACCCACTGGAAAACTTCTCGCAACAACAAGGTTTGTTTTTTCGGCTTCAAACAATAGTACTCGCCAAAACTGTTTTTTTTCTTGAAAATCTCATTACGTAGCAAGATTTTAGTTTCTTTGCCCGGATGATCGATCTTATCAGTCTTGCCATTACTCTTTACAACTAGAAAACTTAGCCAGCACAATCTTGATATTTATTAATTATTACTCCCTTTTTTTTTAAATTTATTCTGCAGTCTTGACAACAACATTGGTTTGTTAAGTGGAGCTAACTATGAGAATGCATCTATGGTAAACCATTACAACCCAACTAACAGAATGAATTGCACATTCAGGTATATTGCATTTTTACAACAATGGATCTTTACTTTTCATATGGAGTCCTTTACCATTTCTGATTATACGACATGTAGCCGAGATAGCTTTTGATATAAAAATTATTCTGTAAGTTGGATTTGCAGATTATAAAACGAAATGCAGATTATTAAAAAACCAAAGGGTTTTTTTTTTGGTTTTTTTGAACAGAGGCATATGGGGTTGGGATGATTCATCGATCTACATTGGAAATGCAAAGAAGGGAATTGATATTATATCTGTTGCTAAGGAGAAGACTGTTGCTCACTTAACAAGTTGGGACTTGTCTGGTGTTCTTACTCGGTTAGATGTGCATCCATACAATGTTGGTACAATTGCAGGCTGCACAAGTGGCGGTCGCGTTTATATTTGGACTCCGTCTTGAGAAACATCTTTAATTTTTTTTTAGCTTTTTTTCTTTAACATGAATCATGAAATAGAAACTAGTTTGCAGCAAATACTATCGACGAGCCTTCTTGAAATACACGAACGAGGAGTCGCAAAACGTACAACGTTGTTTCTGTAAGCAACTTTTTTTGAATGAACAACACAATTGATGCCCTTGGAGTAGTTCAATGAAGCAAATGGGCTCTAATGAGATGCCACGTGTATATATTATTTCAAATTCAGATTTTTTCATTACTAAAGTAAAATTAAATGTTTACTTTAACCACTGAAGTGAAAAACCAGTGAATTTTTTTTACCTATCTGACTGAAGCAAATATAACATTGGGCATTGCACAATTGTTTGAGCCAATAGGCAGTCCCAAGTAGCTGGTTTTTGGACATGGGTCAAAGGTTATGTAGGCTATGGCATAAAAGGAAAGGTAATAAACCAAAGCATGGCTTCTCTATTACTTTATGTTGCAATTTATGGTATGCTTTATTTATTTATTTATTATTATTATTATTTTTTATTTCTGTCCAGCTAATATAAAACCCAAATTACAAAGGGTCCCTACTGTAATTGCTTCTCTGCAAAATCTTTTGTTTCTTGAATAGTTCTGAGGAAAAGTCTTTCCTATAGATATGCTTGTAAGGAATTATATTAGATTATTATGTAATAAAAGCTGTATGAGTCATTTTCTAATTAAGATTAATTATATTAATGCAGATATTGCTTTGGTCAAATACTTTGACTTTGCAAGAATGTAAGTTACTTTCTCTACAAGAATTAGAACAACAGCTGTTAATACTTGATTAGTCAATGATTTGTAGGCTTTGTAGCAGCAAAAGAGGCTGCACTATGGTCTTAACCTTTTGTTTTCATCTTCCAATGTAGTAACTTTATTGTTGAAAATTAGCTGCATTATGTCTTAAACCTTTTCTCATTCAATTCCTTCTTCCTAGGCAAACCTTGAACCAAGAGACTGTAGAAAATTTTCACACAGACACACATTAAAAGAGACCTTTTGCCATTGCCCATTAGTGCATTAATATTGGTTGTCTCTTTTTTTCTTTTTTGCTTAAATTACACATACACCCCTGAACTATGCTAAAATAGTTTTAAGGTCCGTGTAGTATCGGTAATTACAACTACCCCTGAAACATAGTTAGAAACTCTAACAAGTTAATGCATTGGGATAAGTTATTCCAGTTCTAACGAACTATTACATGATATTGGTTTCAGGGGTGATTGTAATTACCAATACTATAGGGACCTTAAAGTTATTTTAGCATACATCAGGGGTATATGTGTAATTTACCCTTCTTTTTATTTCCCTTTTTTTTTGGTTAAGTATAAGTATAAAAACAGTGGCATTAGAAACTGAACTAATGGCGGTGGTCCTTTTTGTCTCCCCTCCAGCCTTTTGTTCTATAAATGATATCTTGAATTTTCAAATCAACCCCCTTCAGAAACTTATTCATTTCAACTTTTTTCTTCAAAAAAGCACTTTTCTCCCATAAGTTAGTTTGTAGCTGATCAAGAACCATCATGAACTCTACTACATACTTCTTCTTCTACTTCTTGATTGTCATCATTCTACTTTGCAACATTGGTTTTTACTCAGGTAATTTAAACAAAAAATATTATATTATATTAATTTTATTTTTTTTTTATTTTTTTTATTTTTTTGTCAGGAAAAAATCTTATGCATTACTCCAATGAAGAAGACAAAGAAAACACAACTGTATCTTCTTTACAACCATACTTCAGACACAGGAAACTCATGACAAAAGGTAATTTTAATTAATTAAATAAATTTTATTTTTATTTTTATTTTTTTCCATTTTTTGTCATTCGAAATAATTAAAAAATATATAATTAATTTTCGGACAGGGGTTTGTTCAAAATGGGATATAAGCATTTCACAGAGCACATATCCAAGTTCAGGGATTCCACAATACATAGTACAGATAGTGAACACGTGTGTTTCCGGTTGTGCGCCGTCTAATATTCATTTGAGCTGCGGTTGGTTTGCTTCTGCAAGAATAGTCAATCCGAGAACGTTTAAACGGGTGTCGTTTGACGACTGTTTAGTTAACGGTGGAAAACCGTTAAAGAGTAGCCAGAGTATAAGGTTTACTTATGCAAATTCTTTCATGTATCCACTTCGGTTCAAGTACGCTCGTTTCTGCTGAGAGACGAAACAGATAAACAAACGAACCACAATGTATAATGATTATTATAATTTATATGTTTCTACATTCTAATTTTGTTAATTTAGATTTAAAAGTTTTTTTTTTGGGCGATTCTTTTATTTTATTATACTGTCGTCAATGATTTTTTGGACTCGAAAGCTACATTCGGGTCGGAATTAACACTTTTTGGAAAGAAATCGACATTTTCTTTGTGAAGTGGAAAATTAATTCCAATTATGCTAAAAAGTAGAAAAAACCGAGTTTCGGTACTTGAAATGAATAAAACTTGTTCTAAAATAAGAAATTCTCAAATTGGTTTTTTTCCCGAATCGAATTTCGGTACATATTATAATTGTAATATTTGGAAGAAAAAAAATGAAGTTTTCGAAAATTAAAATCGAACATGAAATCGGAATCTAATATGTATTCCAATTCAGTTCCAAAAAAGTATCGAAAAAATCGGAACTTTTGGATTCGTAAAAAAAAAAATTGTACAAATTCTTCGAATTTTTATTGGATTGGAATCGACCGAATTTGGATTTTTCGTTCCAATTTTCACCCCTATATTCCGACGAACCGTGCTTTTTGAGTTCTTTCCATCGGAATAGTTCAACATATGATCGAAAAACCAGTAGATAAGGGTGTTTTGCACCCAATCTACTATATAAGAGCCCAAAATATAAACTTTATTACATTAATTTAAAAGATTTCAATAAAGAAAATGAGAATGTGAACATAAAGAAACTCAAGAAGAAAAATTGGGAGGGCTCATTTAATTTAGAATATGTAGACTGTCAAATCATCGAGTAGAGGGCGTTGATGTTAACAACTCAATTGGCTGTGTATTAATTGTACTTAAATAATTAATTAAAAGATTGGGGACCTATATTTAATTAATAATAAATTAATACCCCACAGTTCCAAACAGAGTATTTCAGTTGTTCAATCAAATTGTTGCAGCTGCTAGAGACTGTCAAATATTCTTGAATTGATTGTATTTTTTTTTTATTTTCTTTTTTCTTGAGGTTGTCAATATTGGAATATCAGAGGATTCAGTTTGTAATTGAAATGTGCACATCATTCTTCTTTTATATGCATAATAAATTATAACGATTCAGCAAAATATTTGCTGGTTTTGCTTAAAACCAGCAGTACTTGTATTAAATGTTTGGGGAAATTTACTGTCACCCCTAAGAGAAGGTTAAATTACTAAATCACCCTTATGTTTTGGTAATTAAATCACCTATCAATTATGTATTATCTTATAAAATAATCATTCTTTCAAAAGGTAAATTCGACACTGTAAGAAAATATATATTTGAGGGTAGTTATAATTACCAAAAAATTGATGGGGTTTTTGTAATTTGACTTAGCAATGGCCATAATTTGCCCTAAATGTTTTGCTTGATGTAGCAATAAAAGTTTAAAGTTTCGGCATATGTATTGAATGAAACAATAATAAATAATTAAATATGCATAGCTTTTGAGAGATAAAAAAAGAAGTATGACTAAGTATCATAGCATTATAATTTCTATGTATTAGTAATTATTTATTTTGTTGGTGATAATCAATGTTTGAAATAATTTACGAGTAAAGAGGATAAAATTGAGAAAAGAAATAGTAATTACTGTCTTATTGAAATTTTAAATTGATTAGTGATAGGGATTTTTTTTATTTTTTTTTGATGAATGGAGTATTTAGTTAAATATTCATATTAACTAATTTAACTGTTTCCAATATGCCACGTGCTTCTTTGTTGTTCTACAAACGTTTGAGGGGGTAAATATGTGAAATGACGAAAATAGCCTCCCTGCAAACTCTATCCTCTCGTCTAGCTTCCCGGCGATTTTGCTTTAATTTTGAGCTCAAACTCCATGAATATGTCTCTCGGCTTCTCCTGCTCTGCCTCTCTTTCCCCTCAACTTCCAAGTTAGCTTCTCTCTCTCTCTACTCTCTCTCTCCTCTACTTTCTCTCTCTATGTATATATATTTCTCTAATTTGTTTGTTTGTTTGTGCGAAGGTCAGCTACTTGCGAGAAACAGCAACAATGGAGGCCTCGAAAAGGTGAAAAACCTAATTACAAAAACTGGAATTCCTTCTCACATCACCTCTCCACTTGAATCACTCCAAAAGGGCAATTGGGTAAAACTCATCTGCGGCGCCAGCTTTGAGGTACCTATTTTCAATTTCATCTCATTAAAAATTAAATCATACAAAATGAATTAGGTATATATACTTCTCCTTGTAATTTATTTATTTGATTTTTGTTTGGCGTAGGATGTAGTTGACATCAGGAATCTCTCTCTGGTTTACACTCTTGCTGGAGGTAACTCAATTTAACTTAATTAAATTTAGGGTTTAATTATATAAAAATATGTCAATTGCAGAAAATCACATCACTGCCTTAGTTATTCATGTGATTAATTTATTTTAATGTTTATTGTAGTTGATTGTATTGATTGTGCTGCTGAGTCATCGGTTATTAATGCTGTACACGACGGTATCGAAGCGGCTAGATCTATAATTCCCGTTCGAAGGCCTTGGGTGATGATCAGTATCAACGATAGTGAGGATCTTCATTTTCGTAAAGCTGGTAATTTCTTGCACCTTACGCATTCGATGTACCGTGATTAAAAAAAAAAACGTGAAATCAATTACGAGTTTTACGGATTTCTTCGTAAGTTGTGGGAAAATAACCGAGTAATCATGAATGTAATTGGACTAGCCATGATTAGATAAAATAGTTGGACTTTATTTGATGTTTGGTTAGTGAGTTAACTTGTCGAGTTGGATGCTATCGTGTACTCTAATCCAATTACAAAATTGGGTTATGTAATTTAATCTTGGCTAATCATATTTTGGCAACCAAACGAGGCCCTTTGTGCTCCAAAAATTATGACCATTAACATAATATAGTAATATACCATTTTGTTTTGTCAGAATTCGACCCGGATGATTGTCCGATTGATTGCTCGAGGCCATGTGAGAATGTTTGTCCAGCTGATGCAATCTCATATTTAGGCAAAGATGGTTTATCCAAGGTTTTATTAAAGCTTTTCCTTAAAAAAATTTTATAATTTAATTTTACTTATCATCCATAATATAATGACATCCATAAGCAGGGTGGTGTCTTAGCTGAACGCTGCTACGGTTGTGGACGCTGCTTACCGATTTGCCCGTATGATAAAATAAGTGAGTGCTGTTTTTACCGATTTACCGATTTGGTGTGATATAACTTATTTACGATCCTTATATTTTTAGCCTATTAGTGTAGGAGCAATTACATATATACGGGACGTCGCTGCTACAGCTAAACTTCTTAAACAAGATGGCATCGACGCCATAGAAATTCACACTAGCGGAAGGTACAATTTTCATATTGAGTTTGTATGCTGATTAGTATAAATCGCTGTATTACAACCTTCTGTGTTGGTATGAATTAAAAGAGTGGATTTTTCATACGATTTTTTTTTAAATCCGTACTGATGTATATTCAGTTAGTTAATGTAGTGAATCATTCGTAGGGAGGCGGATTCGTTCCGTGAACTCTGGAATGGTCTAGAAGGTTCGATTGATAAGCTAAGACTTGTAGCAGTGAGTGCACAATTTGTTTTTTTTTTTCACATTGATATTTATTTTTATCGAATATGAATATTAAGTTAATTGGGTTGTGGAATTTTAGTTGCTCTTCTTTTTTTCTTATGCAGATTAGTTTGCCTGATTTAGGGGAGTTGACTATACCTGCAATGAATTCTATGTATGCAACAATGAACGTCAACCTTCACTGCCTCAATTTATGGCAGGTGCATTTCTCGTAAATCTTTATAGCAGTTATATATATATATATATATATATATATATATATATATAACTGCTCTTTTATGTGTAGTTGGATGGGCGCCCCATGAGTGGAGATATTGGACGAGGCGCGACAAGGGAAGCAATCAAATTTGCCCGAGATTTAGTCTCCATCAAAGACAAGCCTAGAGGTTTGTTTGTGGATAAAATTAAAAAAGATATGAATGTTTTAATTTTTTCTTTTTTTCTTTTTCCGAACGAATAATCACCTAAGTTCATCGATTACTACATAACAGGTTTTCTTCAATTAGCGGGTGGCACAAATGCTCACACGGTAGAGGGTCTCAAAAGGGAGAGATTATTCCAAACCGCCGCCACCTCATCTGGTAAACACAATATATATAGCCCTATAACTTCAGTTCTTTCGAGATGGTCTGTTATAAAATAAACTTCGGATACTAATTTGTAATAGCATGCAGAGAAATCACTGGATTCGTCACATGCTATGATCAGTGGAGTAGCTTACGGTGGTTATGCACGAAAAGTAATTTTTTTTTTTTACCATTTTCATTTTTTTCAAGATTGTTAAATCGAGCTAAAATAATCTAGAATTATTGCTAAAAGTATTTTTGCAAATTAATTATTATTTTGCAGATAGTCGGTAGGGTGTTGAGATCTTTGCAATCCGAGCAAGGTTATGCCCATCTCGAAGATTACCCGGATCATCTTCTCAAGGCACTTATAGAATCGATTGCTTTAGTTGGCACAGTTAAATCCTATAATAATAATGGGAGTTAGTTTGTGAAATACGAGGTAAACTACGAAGAACCCAGCTTACATGTTGGATTGTATATCGGAAACTGCAATTGTAAACTGAAATGCAAGAAGAAAATGAGGTATAATTTGTATATAGCTGAGCATAATTGAGAATGTTAACGGTTATGATTGTTGAATTTCCGTAATACCACTGTCTACAAATGTATAACGACCTCCGAAAATCTTGAAAACAACGAACATGTAAGAAATTTTTTTAGTAGTACGCAAACAATAATCGAGATCAAAGTATAAAATCAAATTTGGGAGAGTAGATGCAGGTATGAGATCCTACGGCCTGATAGAAAACCGATCCCATACAAAAGTTCACAAGTCGAGTCATCAATATAAATACTTTTACATTGGATTGACCGTTCACACGAGATTTTTCTTAGTTGGCAGACATTTATTTAAAAGTATAACTATGAAATGTCGATCGGGTAATGATTGACACAGTAGAAAATACCAGAAGCCAAAACTTTCCTAAAAACTGCCGTGTGTTTTGCAATAAGAAAACTGAGTAGAAACAGAGAAGACAAAAACCTTCCTAACTCTGTCTTTTGTGTGAGCTAAATCGTCGCTCGAATTACTTTGTTCTGTTGATGACTCGGTGAGTTAATTCCACAAGAGCCCTTCTCGACCTTTGCACATCCTCGTCATCGTTTTCCGGAAATGAATCGACTGCAGCTGAGGCAAGGCTAGCATGCTTTGCTGCCAGCTCCCTAGTTCTCTCTATACCCTTACTCCTTCCAAGATACTCGAGGGCCTGTAATTTAATTTTAACATGTTAAAAACGAGACTATTTTAATTAAGTCTAAGCTAGATGAGACGGGAGATTTTTGTTGGTTGTTATCTTCTTTTCTTTAGTGATAAATGACATAAATTAATTGACGTTTAAGCAAATGACGTAACCAAGTTCACTGAATTTATTTATATAAAAAAAAACCAAGTTGACGAAAAACTTACAAGGTCCACATTTGCGGAATTGTCGAATCCTTCATCGACAACATCTCGAAGCTCGGGGAACTCCTCCATAGCGAACAATATAGGAGCTGTAACTATGCCCTGTAAGAAAAATTCAAATATCAGATACAAACATATGCAGAATGGTGTAATGAAATGTGGGCATGAGCTATTTATAAATATAGTAACAAGATAGAGCAAAAATAGGTCAGAAGAGTACATGTCGAATGTCGGACAACGAGCCCTTCCCCAGTGAAGTTGAAGTGCCAGTGAAATCAAGAACGTCGTCAATTAACTGAAAAGCCAACCCCTGCAAACATATATATGCAAATGAGATCTTAAACTACGTGTATCGGTTCTTATAGTGAAGGGGGAAAAGGATCCGACAACCGCCCCCCACACACACGCACGCACGCACGCACACACACACACACACATGTTTCTCATCAGAAGAATTGGACAAAAAGCAAGAGAGGTACGTACAGCACAAGAAATTACCTACCAAATTTTTCCCGTAGTCGTAAGCCAAAACCGAAACTTCGGATGTTTGTCCAGCAAGAAGGGCAATAGACTTGCAACTATTTGAAATCAATGAGGCGGTTTTGTAGTATGTTTTTTGCATATAGTAATCCATGCTGCCAAAAAGAATTGTAGCAAGATTTTATAAAGAGCCAAAAATACGAGGGCAAAGTATCACGCTTGAAACATAATCAAAAACCCCGGTGGAAGAGTAATTTTATAATGCAATTCATGCAGAGATAAGTCGGAATCTAACCTGCAACGCTGGTCAGATGAAGTTGTCATTTGCATTGTCTCACCGGTAACTAGATGCTCCACAACTTTAGCCAAGAGGGATACAACCTGAGAATACGAAGTGGCTGTGTGAATCTTAAAGAAGAAAAGATAAATTTAAAAGGTCGTATTATGGGCTGTTCGCCTCATGACCCTCGCCGTATTCCCTTTGATCTTAGAAGGAACACTAATTGATAAAAAAACGTACCTCAGTGTTCTTTAAAGAGGCAAGTGCTACACAAGCCCGAGATAGTAGGAAATCTCCAGCCAATACAGCTAACTGCAATTTAATAAGGAAGGCACATGTGAGGTGACAAAAAAATAATTCAACACAGAATGAAATGTCCTCCTGACCCTTCAGTTTACGAGAAAAATATGAGAACATAAACAAATAAAATAAGGAAAAATATTAACATTATAATAATGCAGAAATGTCTAAAAATCATTAGTTGAAGCGAAAGATAAATATGTGGCAAAGACCAGGTTATTTATCTCCTCAAATAATAACTATGAAAGTCGGGATGGTCGTGTTTGTGTTGAAAGAAAAATATAAAGTACCTTATTTCCCATCACATAATTTAACGAACCAATCCCGCGCCTCGTATCAGCATCATCCAACACATCATCATGGAGGAGGCTAGCAACCTATACAGTGTAGGAGATTACTAACCAACGAGGCAAGATACACAATTACTGATGCACTTGAAAAGCCACAAATTAAGTAGCATAAAAAAAAGTTAAAAAAAAAACCCGAATAAGAATATGCATATAGCCAAAATTTGTTTGGCATTTAAGAATGCAACACAAACGTGAGAAAAACGATCTAACTGGTAACTGGCTTTAAGGGAGATATAGCGAAAATCACTAACATGGATCATCTCAGTGATTTCAGCGATACACTGTTGTCTTACACGCAACTCCGTGGCCAAGTTATCAACTGCAGCGTCGTGCGGTTGTTGCCTCGGCGCAGGTAAATTTAAAGCTGTTGCCATCAACAATAGAACCTGCATAATTGATGTAATTTTCATGCACACATGAGAATAAGGTACCCGATATTTGATGATAATACTAAGATTTTTTCTGCTGCATTTTCGTGTATAAGCCCGTGCTAATAATGATTTAAGAGTATTGAAACTCATATTTACAACCTAGAATGCAGAAATGAACGGTGAAAATGGAGGAGTTTTTCATACTTATCTACATGTCTAAGCAAAATAGCAAGCAATTTCAAGCTTCACGTTCAAGATGTTAGACATTGCAGCATGTCAGCATGACTTAATTTTAAAATGAACAAGAAAATCACGGTGGGTTCAACTTATTTCCAGTCAGTTGCATCTTTCACTTATTTACAGCATATAATATCTGTTACACTCGATACCCCGATAAAAGATCTTTCTCATCATAACAACCAAAAAATATTAGTGATGGAAAAATTGAGGAGGCCGTAAAACTCGAAGGAACATGAAGATCTCTTACAGTGGGCCGGAATCTTTTTCCTTCAACTCCCATTTTGAAAAAATACTCTGCAGCAGATGCAAGCTTAGGAACCTATACAAGACGAACGACGTCAACTTTTTCATCATTAAATATCAACCTGTTAGATAAACATGGGGAAAAAAAAGGATAAGTTACGTACCTCAGCGACTACCATGGACCTTAAGCGATTTGCAAGAAGCGACAATTCATCGGCAACAAGAGAAAATGGATCTATTTGCTCCTGTCAAAGTAGAAATAAGATTTAGGCTATTAAGCTTCATATGTTCATTAACAATAAAGCATACCTAACTACAATTAGGAATCATAAGAAAAGGCGTGCAGGTATTTTTATTATCTTCAATTGCTATTTTTAAGATAAAAGTCGGAAAATCCAGACAATTTGGATCCAAAACAAGTAAGCACTAACCTCTCTGCTTTGATACTGAGCCTGTTGTCCAACGCTACTTAGGGCGCTCGAAACCCAAGAATAAATAACTCTGCAACCCAAAACCTACTAATCACCGTAAACAAAGCAAATATATTACAGTAGAATGAATTTTAAAAAAATTGCCGACAAAAACCACCATTTCACCAACTCACACACATTGAGAAGATCATCACAACATTATTACATAAAAGATACAACAACATACATTATATGTGTACATGCATGACATCATAACAGTTAAAAAAAGACAGACACTAAAACCTATGTTAATCCTATTTTTAAGGAGACGAAAATTTGAACATGTACCTCCGTCTAACACCAGAGCATCTCGTCACACATCACATAACGAAGTCCAGTTTCCGAAACTTGTCTATAGTAGACCCATTATACGCAACTAGATGCAGAAATCGAACAATCTCATTCTTCAAAGCAAGCACCACTTCATCGTTGATTAATCATTACATCGTGTGTGTGTGTGTGTGTGTGTGTGTGTTTGTGTCTAATAGCCTAGATTTTTCGCGTGAAGATTTCATCGGTTACTTCCCATGTTTCTCCAATCGATAATGGTTAATTTTGAGTACACGGTTCGTCAAGCTCAAATGTTATGCCCTTGACATATTTTAGCTACCAAATCAAGAAAACAACTCTAAACAAATAAATTAAAACAAAATGGAAATTAGTTCAGTGTGAGTGTTATCCACTTCAAATTAAATTAGTTACAGCCATGATAAACAGATCAAGGTGAAACCCACTTCAACAAGTTATAAATCAATCCTACTCCAAAAAAAAAAAAAAATAGAAACAGAAACAAATACTGAAGCGCGGGTCGGGTTACCTCATGAGAAGGTTGAAGGTGTGAGCGGAAATGGGTCGGATGCTCGAGCAAGGGCACGCTGCTATTACTCCCCAACGAAGAGTAGACCCATCGGCAACGGGCGTAACCCGACTTCGATAACCGGGTCAACCCTCTTACAGAAAACATCTCCTATATACGCCTCCCCCCGCAGTTACGTACTTGGTGAATACAAATCAAAATTCGTTTGTTAGAAACAGCTGCTTTTTTTTTCTGGAATTAGCGGCTAAAATTACAAATGGCAAAAGCGGCGCTGGGTTCGAGGAAGGAAGGAAGAAATTCCTAGTTATCGATGGGGAAGAAGGAATTATTAGCCGACATTGATGTATTCTGCAAGAAACACGATTCGACTCGCTCCGAACTCGTGACCCGTCTGTGGTAAAACAACTCCAGACGTGGCTTTAGGCCGTTTGATGTAATTAATAAATAAAGTTGGGTGCTGATTGTAATATTAGTATAGATGAAGGATGAAAGTGATATTAACTTTATTTTTGGCCCATTTAGGGTTTCGGATTTGGTCCAGCGGGTTGGTTAATTGTAAACCCGGTCCAATTCTTTTTTGTATGTTGGACTTTGCAAATCATTTTGTAAAATGGAGAGAAAGCCCAATGTGAATGTTGGACTTCGCAAACATTATTTATTTACCAATGCCCACGTAAATTAATAATCGATAAATTAATAACTTCACCTAAATAATTATTTTTCTCAATCTCGACCCAGAGAGAATGTGGTAAATTATTAAATCGATAATCTAATACTATGATGCACGGAAACTTCAACCCACACGCGTTTCTACGTTTCGGAAACGTATCGAAAACCGAAACTCCATGACACGTGTCCGAAACTTTTTCGAGGCAGTTTCCATAAATATTTAAAAATTTCGGGGACGTTTTGGATAATAATGAAAATTTTAAAATACATTTCCCACAAAATAAATCAAAATTTCATTTTAAATAAAAACTTCGAATTGCATACGCTTAAAAAGAATCTTAAATATTATGTTTCCTTTTTAATTATGGTGGTGTTTTAATATTTTTGATGTTAATTCCATTCTAAAATAAATTTATATGCCACCAATGTAATTTGTGGAATGATATTAAACATTATAATATTTTTTTAGAAATTATGATTGTACACCTATATTTTTATTACTTGCGTGTTTCCCCACGTTATCGTATCCAATTTTTTGGTAAATGGAGTTTCCTCGTGTCCGTTTTCCTATTTTCCCTGACGTCCCCGCGTTCGTGCTACATAGATTTAATATTTTACTAAATTAAAAAGAATTATCTAGTCTCGACTGTATTATTTTATTGAGGTTTGTTGACTCTGTATTGATCTCTCAATTATGCCAATCAAGACCGTTTAAAAAAAAAAATGAAGATATAATAAATTGAGGCATCTATTTTATAATGCACAATTTTTAATTTTGTCTCATTTTTTGTGTGTTTTTAGTGTATACACATAAATTCCCCAACAAATTTTAATGAATATTAGTGACATGTTAGAAGCTTGAACTTTTTGACTATGTAGAGTGGTAGCTGTCACACGAGTACTTGAATTGAATATAAGTATTAATATTCATGAGAAAAAAAAATGGGATTTATTTATTTATTTATATCTGCAATTGCATAACAATTATTGGCCATACTTGGTAGGTGTTACTAGTTTACATTTTTCTTTTTTGGAAGAAATTAGTTGGAAATTGAGTAGCTTGGAATGTATTGACATACACTTTCGTATTTTGGTATCGATAACAACTATTTGACGCTCGAGTCATCTCTACACGATAGGAGAATTCAAAGAATTCGAGATGCTTATTGGAAGTTCAAAATTACATCTCCTAGAGGTGTTCGAGTATTTATTAAATTTTTTTTTTATTGACCTAAACCTAACAACTTGGTCAAATTGAGCCCAATTATTTAATTCATGGCCTCTTAGTAATTTGTGTCAATTTGGACCTAGGTAAATTTAAGTATGTAATTCGAGCCCATTAGACACTATTTTATTAGTAATACTTCAGTATATATTTACATCTAATAATTACATATTGTATTATTATTATTATTAAAACTAATTAATTATTAACATTTTAAGTTGACCCGTCCAATGAAAACACCACAATTAACATAACAAATGTAGTGGTCAATTTGGGAAGTGGGAAACCCTCTAACATAGGACATAATAATTCAAAGTATAAGAATTAAGCCCGTCAAAGTTGAATTATTTTTCATAAGAGTTGATTGACTAAATAGTAAATAAACATTCATATGTTAAATTAAAAAAAAAATAGTTGATTTCTTTTTTTCTTATTATGTGTTTGAAAACTATACCTCAATTGTTTGACAAAACTCAACTATTTTGTCTATAAATGTTTGAGGTCAATTAAAACCACCTTCTCTATTTTATTATTTAAGACATTTTTTATTTGTTTTTTCCGCATCGTTTACGACCGCTAAATTTATTTTAAACAAAATTAATATTTTTACGTCTGATAAACTATTTTAAAATATACTATAACATCTTATTTTTAATTTTAATTTATAAAATATTTGAATAAAAGTTATTTTTTCTGATTTCGTCAATTTGTAATTTTGATTTTTCATTTACCATCAAAGTCAAGCCCACCATCCAATCCACCTAACTCGCCAAAACCCATGTAATATACCCATTTATACTTTATATATAAAACATTATAGATATAATAATTAAATAAATAAATATATTTTAATTTATATGTACAGATCATATATGCACTCACAGTCACTGCGTGTATTTAAAAAACCGGACCCACCCAAAAAAAAAAACACCCAATTGCTCCTCCAGCTAACTGACAAATGCCACGTGACACTTCCGATATGAATTTTTGATCTACCAAATAAAAATTAAAATATTATTTAAAGTCTTCAAATTTCTTCTGTTCATAGCACACCTTCTCTTAACAACCCACACTCTCTCTTCCTATATATATACATACACATTACATACACTATACATATATATATATATACACACACACTCACCCGTCACCCTACTCTTCTCCTACCTTCATCATAACAAGATTACCTTCCCGATTCTTCGTTCATAGGGATAATTGTCTGAAAGGTAGCTGCATTTTGGCGATAATTTACGGATTTATCGTAAGCGGTTTCATTTTTTTTTAGCTTCGATTACGCCATTGATCTAGTGTGGGTAGGGACCGGGATGCAACCGGGATGCAATTTTAGTTGATCTAGATCTGTTAATTTGTCGTTTTCGAGTTGATCCATGATTCCTATCAGTGTCTGTTATGGGAAAATGAGTTTTGAACCGTTGGATCTTATGGTTTGATTTAAATATTGTGTTGTTGATGTTTACGAGGAAGCATGATTCAATTTCAATAGTCGGTTTTTTTCTTTCTGTGAGGGCTTTAATTTTCAGTTAAAAAGGCAGATCTCTCTGCTTTAATAGTACGTGCATTTTGTGGGATTTTAGTTTTTACATTAAGATCTGTCTGTGGTGGTGGGTATATGATTTTTGGCTTGGGTGTGCAGTGGATCATATTCATATGAATCTATTTGTTTGATTTTGAATATTTTATGTTGTTGAAATTAGGGAACTGTTTGTGAATTTGAGTGATGATTATTTATGTTTATTTTGATTTTTTTATTTTTTTGGCTAGGATGAAAAACCAGGTGGTTTATGTTTTTGTCATTATGAAACAGTGGTTTGTGTAGAAATCTTAACCTAGAGGCTATTGCAGATAATTCTAGTAGAAATGATCTGCTTGAAATCTGCGTGGTTCTATGTAATAGAAGTGATCGTTGTGGAAAACTGGTTTTAATCTTGGATTTTTGGTTTCGGATCTTACTTGTTAAAGATTAGTTGAGTTATTATGGACGAACGTACGTGCATAGAAATTATTGCTTGAAATAATATGAATATCTACTTCTGATTAGTACTAATCATACGTAAAGCACTTTAATGCTGAAAAAGTGGTAGGTTGAACCGAAATAAGATATGATTGTAAATCTGGTCTGGTCGTTTGATATTCGTACTTAGTATCTTTTTTCGAGGATTAGTTAGAAGTGTATAAAGAAACTCGATGAATGGCACCTTTTATTTGTTTAATTCGCGTATGCTAATGTTGTATTTACACGCAGGAGGTGTTTCAGGCAAACACCATGGCGACTGGACAACTTTTCTCGAAAACCACTCAAGCACTATTTTACAATTACAAGCAGCTGCCGATCCAGCGTATGCTTGATTTTGATTTCCTTTGCGGTAAGCGTGCAGGATTATGTTCGTATGACCTCTTACAAGCAATCAATTTGTTGAACGAATTGTTCGTTTTGGTGTCTTACTTTCTTAAACCTTTTTTATGTTTTGCTAATGCAGGCCGAGAAACTCCTTCTGTTGCCGGAATTATAAATCCTGGTTCTGAGGGATTTCAGAAACTATTTTTTGGTCAAGAGGAAATAGCCATTCCGGTCCATTCTGAGTGCGTTTTATGTTCTCTTGCTATGTTTTCCCCTTATTGACCTTGACTATAATGTTATTGTGGCCCGAATATTTTTCATCTTATGCATTTTATTAATGGTTTTTTGAGTTTTATCGAACCGCCTCGTAAGAGGTGTAAGAATTATGTCCTCATCTTTCGTGAGTCTAGCTTCCACTTTGCGCTTGATAACTTGTCCAAACATCATATATATATATGAATACATATGTATGTCATGTGTACTTTTTAATCGGATAATGCATTCTGTAGGAGATTTGTTTTTTACCTACTTCCACATTTACTTGAAAATGAATTATTTAAACACGTCCTTGAAACACTGGCCAATTTATCAACACATAAAATGTTGGCATGTGTTTCAATGATCAGGGTAAAAAATTCAATTACCTTAATTTAGTCATCAAAGGGAAGAAATTCCAGTCATATGAACAATATGAAGGATTTTTATGATGTCTATAATCTATATATATACTTGCTTAAAGTTTAATTCCTATTTATTACCAAACACTGTGGTGATAACTTAAATTTTATCACTCTTTGCAGTGTTGCAGCAGCTTGTGCAGCGCACCCTACAGCTGATGTTTTCATTAACTTTGCATCGTATAGAAGGTTGGTTTCTATTTAGAAATATCGCATACACAGTTTTTTTTCCCCCGGTTCTTGTCTGATAAATGTACTTTAATTTGTCAGTGCTGCAGCTTCATCTATGTCTGCTCTCAAGCAGCCAACTATTAAAGTTGTTGCAATTATAGCTGAAGGTGTCCCTGAGTTAGACACCAAACAGTTGATTGCTTATGCAAAAGCAAACAACAAGGTAATTAGTGCTGGCTTTTCTTGAGTTATGATTTCCACTGTCTTTTTTTTAAGGCCAAAATATTTATAACGAAAGTGAACATGTTTAGGTTGTCATTG